CATCATCACTGTCCAAATGTGGTCAGCAGCCTCAGCCTGGCACAATCTGCAGCCACAAGTGGATTTGTTTCGCTCCCAGCTTTTCTTGAAAATCAAGGATGAGCAGGAATATAAAATAAAGGAAGGAAATCAAGCATGGGAAGCCTGGCCAAGGGAGAGCTGCATCCAGCTGGAGAGAAACCAGGACCTGGGTAGGAAACAGGGCAGGAAAGCAGCTGGGAAAAACCAGGGATCTGCTCTGGGATCCAGCTGGTCTGGGCAACCTGGGAAGAACAGAGAGCTGTGGGTGGGACAGGACAGGAGGGTGGCTTTAGATGGGATTTTGGGAAGGAATTCCTGGCTGGGATGGAATTCCCAGAGCAGCTGGGGCTGTCCCAGATCCCTGGCAGTGCCCAAGGCCAGGCTGGACAGGGTTTGGAGCAGCCTGGGATGGTGGGAGGTGTCCCTGCCGTGGCAGGGGTGGCTCTGGGTGAGGTTTGAGGTTCTTCCCAACCCAAACCATTTGGGATTCTGCGTTCCTGTTGCACCAGAGACCCCTGAGCACCCAGCACTGCAGAGCTGCAGCTCTGGGAAAACATCCTGTAAGCTCAGCTCAGGCTCCAGCCAGGGCCAGAAGCAGCACCTGAACCAAAGCTCCTGCTCAAGCTGGACCAGGCTGGCTCCAGGGCTGGGCCCAAGGGCTCCTCACAAAGCCCTGGAACACTCACAGACCTGAGGGGCTCAGCTCCCCCACACAGCCCTCTGGGACAATTAGCAGGTCTTTAATTAATGAACAGGCTGCAATATGACGACACTGAGCGTTTCCAAAGCAGCTCTGTCTGTACCAGCTCCTGCACCACGGTTTGTGCTGATGATCTCAGGATGACTGGCTGCACCTACACATCCTCCAGCCCCTGGCCTGATTAACACAACGTTAATTAGCTGATGAATTCCTGTCAGACAAACCCAATTACAGTCTGGGGTCCCACAGGAGAACGACAAACCTGATATTATTTTACTGTGCAAAAGCTAGACCCACTTAAAATAATGGTAACCAGGCAGGAAAAGAAAATATTTACAGCAAGAGCTTCACTGTGGCTGCAAAAGCAAAGCAAATCCTCTCATTAGACAGGGATGGGCATTTCTTGCTTTTAAATGTATCTGATTTGCACACAAAGTGTTGAGAAATCTGACTGTGGCAGGCTGGCACGGTCTGGGGACAGGAGGCAGCTGCAGGGATGGGGATGGATGGAAGGAAAGAGGGATTCAGGAATGAGATGAGCACTCCAAGAGACCCCCCCAGCCCCCATTTGGGGCAGGAATTGAGGAGCAAACTGAGCTGTGCAATGAGCACTGGGATCCTGGGCTGAACAGCTTATGCAAATCAAAATCCATAAGAGGATACAGCCCCCAAACACTGAAACAAATTAATTTCTTTTTTTGAAAAATCAACTATTCTTCAAGGACAGATTGAAGAAAAAATGTATCTTTTGCAAGTTTCCCTGGGAAATAGAGCTCGAGGAGTGCAGGGGGATCTCAGCAGCAGGTCAGAATCCAACAGCCCAATTTCACTTCCCATCATTTCCCCCTCAACCATCCCCAGCACCTCCTTGGAAATAGAGGATTTAGGACCCACACTGTCATCTCTAATTCCCAAACTGAGTTTTAATTCACACAAAGGTTTGGTCCCATTGTAAAGGCTGATAATGCCTGTCGTGTTTCTGTTATCAGCTCAGCTGCCTCCTGACATTAAAAAATATAAAATAATTTTCCAGGAGGCTCTGGGGCAGTTCTTCCAATGGCAGCGACAACAATGAGAACCTCAAATAAACCCAAAAGAGGGATAAGGGATTAAACTCAAGAATTGCATGATCAGCCTTACAGCCAATGTTCCTTAAGCTGCACAGTCAAAAATAGAAAAAAATAAAATAAAATTACAGAAGTGTGCAAGGCCTAATTTCCAGGAGATGGATCCAGCTTCCGTCAGAGAGAGGAATCTGAAGCATCACAGTTGCCATGACTCCCGAGGGAGCTGGATCACAACACTGGGAACTATTTTAGCAGCACAGACAGGAGCTGATGTTTTTAGGGAAGCATCCTGTTATCCTGGAACACACAGTGTGGGACATGGGAGCCTGCCTAAAGAGATTTCATCACTGAACTTCAGCAGGAGGTTCTCCAAAATGCCTCAGTTGGGAGTAAATCACAGCCTGCCCAGCAGGGGAAAGAAACACAGATGGAAAGGGACAGGGGATGGAGGGACAGGAGACAGGGAATGGCTCCCACTGCTTGGATTTTGGGATATTGGGAAGGAATTCCTGGCTGGGATGGAATTCCCAGAGCAGCTGGGGCTGGGATGGGGTTTGGAGCAGCCTGGGATGGTGACAGAGATGTCCCTGCCATGGCAGGGGTGGCTCTGGATGATCCTGAAGGTCCCTCCTAACCCAACCCAACCCATTCCAGGATCCTGTGAGGGTGCCAGGTGTGGAGTGGGAACCTCCCAGTCCTGCCTGACAGTCACAGGTGAGGTGTTGGCCAAGAGCCAAAGGTTCCAAAGCCCTGAGCGTGCCACTGCCACACGACAGGAGCACAAACAGGCACGCGGAGGGGATGAAAGGAATGTCACCCAGCAACATCAATGAAATGAAAAATGACATGGATGAAATGAAAAGATGTCACCCAGTCCCTGTGACAGCTGGACTTTCACAGCCAGCTCCCAGATCCCTGCAGCCACCAGCCCTGGAAACAGTCAGAAAACGTGTGGAGGTGGCACTGGGGAACGCAGTGGCCTTGGCAGTGCTGGGGTTAAAGGCTGGGCTTTTCCAAGCTGAACAATTCCCTGGTTCTGTGAGCACAGTCAGGGATCTCAGCACCTTTCCCTTCACGGAGCTCTGGGCACTTCCACACCACTGGTGCCAGCTGAGGGATGCAGCCAGGCCTCGTGGGGGTCTGCAGCTCGTGGAGCAGCTGCTCCATGCAGGGTTCCCACAGAGGAGACAACAGCCTCGCTCATGGATCTGCATTTCTGGGAATGGGCTGCCCAGGGAGGCTCGGTGTCCATCCCTGGAGGTGCCCAAGGAAGGGCTGGACGTGGCACTCGGGGCTCTGGTGGGGATTGGGCACAGAATTCCAACCCTAATGATCCTGGTATGGATACTAGCTTTGGAACAGGCTGCAGGGAGCTGCAGAGACTGCAGGCCCATGGCCTCTCAGTCCTGCCTGAGAAGCTAGCCTGAGAACCTCATAGGAGGATTTCAAAACAATCCTCAGAGACAGAAAACAACTGCCAGGTGCTGTTTGTCTGTCCTCTTGTTTTCCTTGCAGGAGAGAGTCAGGGGGGTGGTGAGCCCCCTGACCAATGATGGTGATGAAGCACTTTGCTAACCAATAAGAGTTTCCTTTCTGTACTTTTCCACGTATCTGTCTATAAGACAAGCCTAGAGCAATAAACTAGAGAGATTTTCCTGTTGTGACTCCCTTGAGAGTCAGTGTCGTTCTTTATCTCCGTTCCCAATCAGAGTGACAATCCTGGGATTCTGGATCTGTGGGAACACGGCACCAAGAGCTCCAAAACAAGCTGAGCCATGGAACTGTGGCAGCTCCTGAGCTGGGATCACTGATCCAGCTCCTGGCCCTGCACCCCAAGAATCCCAGGGCATCCCTGAGGGATGTCCTGGAGCTCTGCCCATTCCCTGGGAGCCTCACACCCTCTGGGGGAATTCAGAGCTTCTGAGCCCCTCTGAGAAACCTCAACAAACCAAACTCTTCAAAGTGCTGAAAGGAGGAAAGCAGTGGAAGGTTATCAAAGCCCTGAGTAAACTCACACCAGGACAACTTCCAGGTGCAAAGTTTGTGCCAATTTACTCCAGGCTGCAGTGCTACTCTGAGCCAGGGCTCCTCCAATCTGTGCAAGGTGTTCAGGAGGAGCTTTTCTTTCCAAAACTCCTGGCAGACAATGCAAAGGCTTTGAAGAGATGTTGGTTTTGTAAAAGATGCTGCCTTCAGCTTTCCCTTTGTTTTGTTGCATCATGCAGCAAAGAGCATCACTTCTGCAGGCACAGGTTCATGCAGAGAACACCATTTCCACTAAAATAGAACTACACCAGGTTATGCAACACTCATTAAAATTACAAAACCTCTCAAAAACCCCAGCAGCATGTTAAGGCACTCTGGAGCTCGGGCTCTGGTGAGTTAGTGGCTGCATCATGCAAACTGGCAGCAAGAAACTCTGCAGGAACAGCAACAAACTTTCATGGCTGATGACAAGGCAAAAACAGAGAGCACCCGAGGGCAGGGAAAAACTTCCCGGCCCATCTCGGCAGAGTGGGGTTCACAGAGATGCCAACAACTCTTTCTGAGGAAGCTTTAGAATGAGCACAAGTACAAGAATATTTGTCATTTCATCTCTAGCCGTAGTTTAAAATTTCTAAGAACTGGGTTCAGTTCTATGGGATGAATTCCAGCTCATTTCCTATGAGCACAGGGACCTTGTTCCCTGGAGAAGAGCCAGGGTGCCCAGCCCTGGATGCTGACCAGCCCATCCAAAGTCTCCTGAGAGGGATAAAGTCCCAAAATTTACATCAGCCCCACCATTGTTTTGTTAGAGCTGCTTTGGGAAAGGTTCTGATTCTAGAAAGAAACACATTTTGTGGATGAAGTGGCTCAAGGAGGCTCAAGCCAAAGCAGCTGCAGGAGGAGAAGGGGATGCAGCTGGGGTGGGATAAACCCAGAGCCTGCCAAAACAGGGACACAACACTCCCTGCCCTGCCATCCTGCATCCCTGAGCAGCCTCAGGAGGCAGAAACCAAGGCAGCTCCACCTCCAGGAGTGCAATTTCCCCAAACACTGCCCAGGATTTGCAGAACTCGCTCCAAACAAACCAAACCCCAACGTGGAGCTCTGGAACCAGCACCATCAGCCAGGCAAGCATCCCCAGAGCCCCTGAGAGCAGCACACACCCCTCATGCCACAGCAGGATGAGGCTCAAGGCCAGGCAGGGACACAGCTCTGTCCCTGGCCACTCACACACCTCTGTCCTGCCGCGCCTGCCGGGGACCAGCTCTGGCCAGCGCCGGCCTGGCCACCGGGGCTGGCACCCCCCGGGCCTTGGTGGGTCTCATGTAGCCCTTGAGCTGCTCTGCTGCCTTCAATCTCTCTTTCTTTGCCTCTTTCACTGCTTTCTGTTCACATTCTTCTGTTTCTTTACTTGGGGCTTGAGGTTCCTTCTCTTTAGTTATTCCTTGAGGTTCCTTCTCTTTGGTTATGTCTTGAGATTCCTTTTCTTTAGTTATGTCCTGAGTCTCCTTCTCTTTAGTTATGTCCTGAGTCTCCTTCTCTTTAGTTATTTCTTGAGATTCCTGTTCTTTAGTTGTGTCCTGAGACTCCTTTTCTTTAATTATTTCTTGAGATTCCTGTTCTTTAGTTAATTCTTGAGGTTTCTTTTCTCTGGTTGTGCCCTGAGATTCCTTTTCTTTAGTTACTTCTTGAGGTTCCTTCTCTTTGGTTATGTCTTGAGATTTTTTCTCTTTAGTTAATTCTTGAGGTTTCTTTTCTTTAGTTGTGTCCTGAGACTCCTTTTCTTTAGCTGTATCTTGAGTTTCTTTATTTGTGTCTCGAGAATCCTTTTCTTTGGTTTTGTCTTGAGGTTTATCCAGCTCAGCCTCTGGCACCGGAGCATCCTTCAGGAGAAGCTCTGCTCCACGAGGAGCATCCTTCATGAGAGCCTCAGCAGCAGGAGCAGGGCCCTCCTCTGCAGGCTGCCAGGGCCCTTTTCTGCTCTCTTTGGGCTGTTTCTGGGTGGTTTGGGCAGCTGCCCCACGAGGGCCAGCAGCCTGAGGCTCAGTGCCCTGGTGTTGGGATGAGCTCTGCTCGCTCCTCGTGTCCCCTCCAGCTTTCCTGTCCACCCCAGCTCCTGGCACAGCCTGGGACACGGCTGGAGGGGCTGGGGAAATGATCCCAGTGCTGGGAGGGGTCCCTGCAGATGGGGAAATGATCCCAGTGCTGGGAGGGGTCCCTGCAGGGGCTGGGGAAAGGGTCCCAGTGCTGGCAGGGGTCTCTGCAGGGGCTGGGGAAAGGGTCCCAGTGCTGGCAGGGGTCCCTGCAGGGGCTGGGGGAAGGGTCCCAGTGCTAGGAGGGGTCCCTGCAGATGGGGAAATGATCCCAGTGCTGGCAGGGGTCCCTGCAGGGGCTGGGGGAAGGCTCCCAGAGCCCCTCTCTGCTCTGGGGGTCTCTGCTCGCCCCGTGCCCCCCACGGCTGCTCCGTGCTTCGGAGGAAGCTCCGAGGGAGCCTTGGCACTGCTGGGCTTCTCATCAGAGGGTTTTGTTTCTTTATCATCCACCTTTGCCACGGGGGAAAGGTCACTTTTGTCCTTGGGCTGGCCTCTGTGTGACACCTCAGCCTCTCTGCCTTTGCCACCTCTCTGTGACACGTCTTGGGCAGGTTCTTTGTGTCCCAGGCTGGTGGGCTGCTCATGGCACCTCTGCATCTCCTTCTCAGCACCAGCTCCACGCTCCTTGCTGCTGTTCTCTGCTTCCAGAGGAAGAGGAGGAGGAGGAGGAAGGCCCCCAGTCCCTGCAGTCCCTTCCCTCTGCTTTGGGAGGTCACAGGGAGCATCACCCCCGGCACCACTTGCTGTGCTCTGAGCCACGGATTTCAAGTCACTTCTTTTATTATTCCCAAGTCTTTGAGGGCCAGCGGGAAAGTTTTTAATGTTTCTGTTTTCATCTACAAAATCTGTGTCTTCCATCCCACATCCCAGCCCAGATCCCAGGGGAGGCTGTGCTTCACTCCTCTCTGGATTTGCCTCTAGAGGAACATGCCTGGAAGCATTTTTAGCTTTTTTACTGCTTCCATCATAACCCCTCTTTTTAGATCTCTCAGTGACTGGGGCCAGGCTGGGATCTGACACTGGGACAGAATTTTTATTCCTGCTGCGAGGACTGGCACCTCCTGCCTCAGCTTTGTCCCTGATCTCCAGGCCAGGAGGAGGGAAGATCCCTGCTCCTGCTTTATTCTCCAGCAGAAAAGGCTGCTGTGGGTCAGGCTCCCCCTTTCTGTGTTTCTCCTCATCACCTGGGTGTGATTTCCCTGGCTCCAGGGGCACAGCAGGAGCCTCTACCTTGGCAGGATCAGGCAGGTGAGCTGCTGGAGTCCTGGAATTCTCTTTGCCTTTCTCAGCCTGAGTTTGCTGGCTGTGTCCCACTGCAGGGACATTGCCTGGCTGCAGCTCAGGTGTGTGCTCAGCCTTTTTGCCTTTCCCATCTCTGCTTTTACTCCTGGCCTTGTCCATCCCCAGTTCCCTGCTGGGACTGTGCATCCCTGCCCTGTGCTCTGGGAGAGGCTGGGATTTCTCTGCTTCCTTCCCTCTATTCATGGGCCAACTTTCCTTAGCACTGCCAATTTCTGCCTCTGAAATCTCAGTTTTCTGGCCTGAAAGATTTGGCAGCTCAGAGAAGCTGCCAGTGCCACCCTGGATTTTGGGCTTCCCCAGCTCCTCCGCCAACCTCTCTCTGTGCAAACCAGATCCCTTCTCCTTATCCAGGCTTGTTTCCTTCCTGTTCCCAGGCTCCTGCTGCTGGCTGCTGTCCCCCCCAGCACCCGGGACAGCTGCCTGTCCCCAGGGGCTGTGCTCAGCCTCTTTCCTCCTCCCATCACTGCTCCTTTTCCTGCCTTTCTCTGCCAGCCCTGCGCCACCTCCGGCCTCTCTGCCTTTCCCAACCAAATCCACCTCTTTAGTCAGGCTCGTGGTGGCAGCCAGAGCAGGAATTTTGGCTTCCTCTTTGCTCTTCTCCAGTAGCAAAGCTTGGTCTAAAGCTCTCAGATCAGCTGTTTCAGGTTTCCCAACATTTTCTTTCTGTTTCTCCGGTCCCAGCTCAATTGATCTTTGTGTTTTAGCTGCATTTTCCTGCAAGCCCCCAGCAGGGACACAGCCCCCTGCTCTGCCCTCCTCACTGCCCTCCCTCACCTTATCAACCACCTCAGGAAAACTCCCTGCATCCATTTTACTCTCAAGGAAAGGCTGCTGGAAAAAGCTCCTTTCCCCTTTTTTGCTCCTTCCATCGCTGCCTCTTTTTTTGGGCTTGTCTGTAGTGCTGGCTGATGGGTGTCCTCTGGCAGGAACCCCCTGACCATTTTCAGGATAAACTGCTTCCTTCCCATCCTCCCCTGTCCTCCTTCCCTCAGTGAATTTGCCTCCATCCTCTGCCAGCACCATCTGCTCCGAGCAGCTTTTGATTCTTTTGCCTTTCCCTTCGCTGCGCTTTTTTTTAGGCCTCTCCATCCCGTGTGTGGAGCTGGGATCTTTCCCAGCCCTCTGCTCTGGAGCAGGGGATCCCTTCCCTGGGTTTGGATCTGGGGAATCTGCCCCACCCCAGCCCCCTGCCCCAGCAGGGGAGGGATGTTTGGGAGCACCGGGGACACCCTCGGCCCTTCTGCCCTGCACAGCTGGAACCTCCCCAAGCTTTGGTGGAAGTGAAGCTGGAACAGGAGCTCCAGGAGCATCTCTTGGGGTCTGCAGCCCTCCCTCTGACCCTGTTTCACTTTCTCCAGCTGCCTTTGGCTCTGCAGGGAGCTTGTCCTCCAGGTGAGGCTGTTTGAGGGGTTCCTTTTCAACCCCGTTGCTTTTTTCCCTGTTTTTCTCAGCTGCTGTTTCCAGGGAAAGCTGATGCACAGAGCCACCGGGTGCTTCCTGCCCTGGAGATGAGGTTTTAGGCTCTTTATTTTTATGGGAAAGGGGCAATTCCTTTGGTTTGGTCTGTAAGGGAGTTCCTGCTTTGCTCTCATGGACCATCAGGTCGGTGCCTCTTGACTCCTTGTGCTCCCTCCTCTCCCTTTTACCGGGGAAATCTCTCTCCGTGGGCCCGCTGGCTCCCGAAGCTGGAGCAGATTCCTCCACCTCAGTCTTGCCCCCCTGCTCCGAGGGAACCTCTCTGCTCTTGCCTTTACATTCCAGCATCCAGCTGTCACCTCTCCTTCCCTCTGCTTTCGCTTCCTCCCGGGCTCTGGCACCCAGCAGAGCGGATTTTGGGGGCTGCTGTCCCGGGGCTGGCTCTGGGAAGGAGTTTTGCTCATCCAGGATATGACTCCCAGTTGTTATTTTAGCATCTTTTGGCACATCCAGAGCTCTGCTCCCTGAGGGCGTTCCCTCAGGCTCTGGATTCTGCCATTCCAGCCCAAAGGGAGCATTCCTGGCAGCTCTGGAGCCTGCTCCGTTCTCATCCCACAGCTCCATCCCTCTTGGCAGCTGGTTTCTCCTTTGTTTGGGTTTCTTTTTCTTTTTCTTCACCACGGCACTTTCCAAATCCCAGCTTTCCTGGGAGGGATCTCTGCAGCTCTCCACAGGCTCCTTGGGGACACTGGTGGCCTTTTTGTGAGGAACCCTAAAGCGAGGGGATGTTCCAGCACCACAGCCAAGCTCCACTGTGGAACAGGGATCTGCTCTGGGCTCAGGACTCTTCTGCTGTGGGAGACCTACAGGATGCTCCTCTGGCACATCTGTGAGAGGCTCTGGGGCAGGTTTTGCTCTGCCAAACCCACGGTCCCTGGATTTGGGAGCTTGCCTGACTTGTGCAGTGGGAAGACCTGGAATACAGGAAGCCTGCTCAAACATCAAGGCCGCTATTTGCTGGATAAAAGAAATAATAAATATATTCTGGGTGGGACTGCAGCCCTCTCAAACAGGCCATACAGGCAGATGTGCAGATTTCCCAGTGCTGGAATCACACCAGAGCCACCCTGAGAGGCCCAGGGCAGGTATTTACCCCAACACCTGTGCAAACCACCCCAAATCCATACACCAGTGCTCCTTAAACACGAGTCTGACACAGGCTCTTACCCCACCAAAAAGCACCATGCCACTGCTTTTTAAAAATGCATTAAGGATCCATTTTGTCTCAGCAAGACAAGATCAGAGAGAGCCTTTTTATATCTCTGGCTGGCATCCTTCCAGAGTGGGAAAACAGAAGTTTAGTGGGAAGATGGGAAGAGAGATGGGGGCAGGAGAGCCAAGATTCCCCAGCAGCAGGGAGGAAGCAGAGGGAGGCAGAGCCTCTGGCCCAAGGTCACCTGCTGTGTGTCCCTGGGGATCCCTCAGCTGAGCTCCAGCACAGGAGCACTCGTTTGTCACCTGGCCCACAAATCCTCCTCCACACCAAGGGTGAGCAGCACCAGCTCCTCTGGAGGCTGGCTCAGTGCAGCAGGAGAAAATCCCATCTTCCTCTGGCAATTACACAGACTGGGAAGGAGATCCTCACTGGGAATATCCTCCTGAGAATTAGCGATCCTTTTCGATACCAAAACCAAAGTTGGTGCTGATGGCAGAGGATGAGGAGCTCTGCAATCCCCCAGCACAGCTGTGAGCCAGCCCCAGTGAAAAAGCACTCAGAGCACACAGATTGGGGCTTTTAGTTGGAATATGGAGGGAAAAGAGCCTTGGAGAGGGCAGGGATGCGAGGGAAGGGTGAGCCCAGCACCAGCAACGCTGAGAGCCACACCAAGACATTCCTGCTTGCCCAGGTGGCCCCAGAGCCAGGAGCAGAGGGTGAAGAGTTCCCAGAGGAGCTTTCCATCAGGAAATTGAGTGATTTTTTTTTGTATTATGATTTATATCCTACCTGTGGGCTCCTGCAGGGTTTTCCCTTCCTGAGGTTCTGCGTGTTGGACGTGGTTGTGCTCAGCCTCCTCCTTTTGTGCCTCACCATCCTCAGCAGGAGCAGATTTTTCTGGAAGGTCTTTATTTTCTACTGCTCCTTTTGCTTCAGCTGGAACATGAAAGACAGGAAGAGAAAGCTTCAGGTCTCAGGAGTACTCAGGCAGCCTGCAGCTGAACCCCAGCCCTTGCAGAGGGGTCAATTCTGTGTTCAACAGGAATGGGGTTTATGAGGCAAGGCTGGCTCATCTCCTCACAATCCCATTCCAGCAGCAATTTTCTATTTTGTTCATGCTATGATGGTGGTAGAACACCAAGCAGGGGCTGTTTCAGGGCTCAAGCACAGGGTGAGGGTTTGTTTGGGTTTTTTCCTCTTTGTAATCAACCCAATTCAGACTATCCCAGCTTCCTGCTGGGAATTCAAATCCAGAACGAGCTCCATTATCAGCCTGGAGTCCCTGGCTAATCCTGATCATCTTGTATTCATCTACACCTTACAATACATCCACACAGCCACCACAACATTCCTCACTGCATAATTAGAGCCAGCTTTAATTTGGGAGCCATAATTACATGGGAGAGCAGTTCTCTCCGTAATTAATTTTATTTCAATTTTAAATGGAAAGCAAAACGACGACAGACATTGGTCCAACAACTGTGCACGAGGGAAGAAAAGGACAAGTTGTGTGAATGGCAAAAACATTAAAATCCTGCTGGAGACTGAGTTTGGTGCCTGTGTTCTGTCTGTGTGGGGCAGAGCTCTGCTCTGGCTGCATTTCCCACCTGCTGGCTCCGGCTGCTGGCTGATTTTCCCAGGAAAGTGCTCGTCCAGAGGGCTTGGAGGGGCTTTTCTGTCCTTCATCTTCTCTGAGTGATCCACACAAACTTCTGGGACTTTGGATTCTGCTTCCACCTTTGCTGGTGCTTCTGCAAATGGAAGGTAAAGAGTAAAAATTTTTAAAATTTGGATCAGATTATAGAAGATAAAAAAAAAAATAATTCCCTCGCTTGATTTTTTATTTTCTGCAAGGAACTGAAGGGTTTCCTCACTTTCAAAACCTGATTTTTAGGATCTTTCTACCTTTCTGCATTGTCCTGCACTTCCTCTTTCATTCACCCACCTGGATCTCTCAGTCATTGCATTCTAGTGGGGTTTTTTTTGTTGAAACTTCTCTCTTGAAATTTATCCTCATTGTTAAACTAAAGAGTGTTAGAAGATAAAAAATATCTCGCTCCAACCCCATCCACAACCAATCTGCTGCCTCTGCCCAGGACTATTTGCTGTGTTTTAGTAATATAAATATAAAATAAATAATAATACAAATATAAATAAATACAAATAATAATATAAAAATAAAATAAATAATAATGAATATAAATATAAATAATAGAAATAATAATATAAATAATAGAAATAATAATATAAATAGTATTATATAATAATATATAATATATTATATATTATATATTATATATAATATATATTATATATAATTATATAATAGATAATATATTAAAATGTTATAATATATAATATATTATAATATTATAATATAATATATTAAAATATATAAAATATAATTATATATAATTATATATAATATAATATGTTATATATATTATATATTTATATTATATAATAATAAAATAAATAATATAAATATAAAATAAAGATAAAAATATAAATTAAATATAAATATAAATATAAATATAAATATAAATATAAATATAAATATAAATATATAAATATAAATATAATTTTGGAGAGCAGTTTTTCTCTCCAGAGGGGTGGTGACCCTGGAGAAATCCACACAGCACAGCAAACCTGCACATGGAAAACCAAACACACCCTTCCCAGCACTTCAACACCTACAGCCATCCCAAAGAAAGGTCCTAAAATCATCAACTAAGCCTTTTAGCCTTTTCAGAAATTGTTTTCAAGCAGCTCTGTTTGTCAGCTCTGTGTCCTGCAGGATTTGGGAGATTCTGGTCAGAGCTGAGGGTGGTGGTGACACAAAGCCAAGCACCAGCAGGGACGAGCCAACCCCTCTCCATGGCTGTCCTTGGACCACTCAGCACTGCTAAGAATGGCCAATGAAAATTAAAAACATCATTAAAAACCTTTAGTTTTATGTTTTACAAGTAAGGAATCCCTGTGAAGGGTTTTCTGTGCATCCTCAGAGCAGAGCTGAGCTCTCCTCAAGGAGCCAAATCAACGCTCCATGACCCCAGGGGCCTTTTCCAAGTGGGACTGTGGGATTTGGGAAAACTCACTCACCTGCAGGAGACTTGTCCTGCTGAAGGGCAGCCTCAGCAGACACAGCAGCCCCTGCAGGGCCAGGCTGAGCCTGCACTGACACATTCCCAGTGTCCACAGCAGGGACAAGCTTGGCTGGAGCTGCAGGAGCAAACCCAGAATCCAGGCTGTGCTGATGGTTGGCTTCTGCTGCTGGGGCAAACTCTGCATCTGCTGCCAGGCCAAGCTCAGGGCCCACGGTGTGCTGAGCTTTGATATCTGCTGCTGGGGCAAAATCCAAGGCATGGTGAGGTTCCACATCTGCTGCTGGGGCAAAATCCATGGCATGGTGAGGTTCTACATCTGCTGATGGAGCAAAATTCATGGCATGGTGAGGTTCCACACCTGCTGCTGGAGCAAATCCCAAATCCATGGTCTGATTGAATTCCACACCTGCTGCTGGAGCAAATCCCAAATCCATGGTCTGATTGGATTCCACACCTGCTGCTGGAGCAAATCCCAAATCCATGTCTTGGTGGGACTCCACACCTGCTGCTGGGGCAAACCCCAGTTCCAGCCCACGGTGGGATCCAGCATCTGCTGCCGGGGCGCAGCCGAGCTCCGTCCCCGGGGTGGAGATGTCATTGACGCCTTTGGGAGGGCTGGCTTCAGGTGCAGGAGAAAACCCCAAATCCGTGGTCTGGAAAGGGTTGGCAGCTGCTGCAGGAGCTGCAGCCCCTGGAGCTGGGGGAGGTTTGGTGTCTGCAGCAGGGACAGCTCCAGCTTTCTCTGCGGGGAGCGACGCGGCGTCGGCGGCGGGAACAGAGGCTGCACCTGCCCGGGAACACCAGGGATCAGGGAAAAGCACCATGGAAACCCCTGACCTGCTGCTTTATGGCTGGGGAACACACAGGCTTCGCTCCCTCTTGGCTTCCAGCACCTCTTCCCCCCCTGCCAGCACTGCACCCCGTTCTTTATCCGCTCCTGGGCGCATCCAAGAGCCGTTCCTGCCGCAGCCCCACGTGCCCTGCAGTGGGGCTCCCATCTGCAGCCAGGGATGGATGGATTCTGCTCCCAACCTCCCTGATGCCACACAGCTGGCAAAGGGCCAGAGCTGCTGGATCCTCTGCTAGGAGCACATTCCAGCAGGGCCCAGAGCAAGAGGCTTGTGCAGAGTGCTGGGATGGTTTGAGCTGGGGGCTCCTTAGAGATGTCCCAGCTCCAGTTCCACTCCCTTCTCCTGGGCAGGGACATCTCCCACTATTCCAGGCTGCTCCAACCTGGCCTAGGGCACTTCCAAGGGATGGGGCAACCACCCTGGGAAAGCTTCCCTGGTTTTCCCTCTGCTGCAGGACACAGAGAATGTGGAATCACCTGTGAGAGCCCAGCGGCTTTCCCAAGAGCAGGAAGTCCTGACACACCCCAAAGCCACACACCTCATCCTAAACACCATTTGTGCTGCTGCTGGGGGGTTTGGTTGGTGCTCCTGCCACAAAATCCTGCCACAAATCCCACATTCCCTCTATGCCACAAATCCCACATTCCCTCTATTCCCTCAAACTGGCCTCGTTGATTTTTCACACAGTATCTCCTAACACCGAGCTGCTAGCTCCAAACCAACATTTGTCACTTCAGAGCACAATCAAACCTCTGCATTTAAGCTCCTATTTGCCTAAAATCCCCTCAAAGGAGGTTTTTCAGTCAGCTTTTGTTTAATGTTTCAGCTGTCCAGAGGGAAGCTTTTCCAAATGATCAGTGCCAGAAGCACTGGATCTTTCTTCTGCAGCTCATCTCGACAGCCCCAAGCTCTGCCCACCCTCTGTGTCCTGCAGCTCAGTGCCCTGAACATCTCCCATCTATTGCTGATCACCAAAAAAATAACATTTCTACTGATTTTTTCAGTCACATCTAAAAATATCCTCCCCAACCAATGGAAAATGTATGAAATCTAAATTAGATACTTCAACTGAAGTCAGAAAGAAACAGAAAAATGGAAAAACTCCCGTTTAAAATGGTACTTTAAGGATCCATTTAGATATAACAAATATTTTAGTGAACCAAACCGAAAGGATCCATCATGCACCAACCCTCACTTGGGTTTGGCTTTGTTGTGGGGTTTTAAAGTGATATCATGATTTTCTCCAAAAGAAAATGCAAAGATTTTGATTTTACAGACAAATAAGACTGTAAATAAATAGATATTAAAAACAGTATGGATGTTCCCTGGATAATGATGGAAATGAGTGGGATAAAGAATTGGGAAACTGGACAACTGGCACTGGGAGTGTAAATATGTTATATATATATATATAAAAAAAAAATATATTTTTATATATTTATACTATTTTTATAGTATAAATAAATATATAAATATATATAATAGTATAAATAAATATATATAATAGTATAAATAAATAAATATAATGGTATAAATAGATATATGTATATAACAGTATAAATAAATATATATATAATAGTATAAATATATATATAAAATAGTATAAATAAATAAGTAATAAATAAACAAACAAACAAATAAATAAATAAATTTTTGAAAAATAGTATAAATAAATAAATTAATGTATATTTATACTGGGAGTATAAATATGCTAAAATGGTTTTTTTCCAAGAGAATCTTTTAGAAGGAGAGGTTTAAAGGGATTTGTGAATAGATCTGTGCTGGGGAAGTGACCTGGTGACTTCAGAGGGCTTTTCCAACCTGAACCATTCCCTCACTGTGCCACAACCCCATCCTCAGGATTGTCCTGCAGCTGAAATTTGGAGGTGGCTCAGAACCATGGGCTGGGACACAAGTGAGCAGATCTGCTGCTTCCCCCTGGGGTGTCCCCACAGCTGCAGGATCTGTTCACCCCTTCCCCCAGGAGAGGCAATCCCAGGTTTTCCAGGGATGCAGGGATTGATGTACCTGGCGTGGAGCCCTTCGGTGCATCCGTGGCTGCAGCCTCTCCTGGGAATGCTGAGGCTGCAGCAGGAACACTCCCAGGGGCTGCTGCTGCCGTGGGGCTCTCGGGCAGGCTCGTCCTGATGGCCTCTGTGGCTGAGGGGGGCACTGCAACAGGAACAGCTGGAATGAACATCTGGAGAGGCCTCGGCACTCGGCTCCTCCCCGGAGCTGCTGGGATGTGGGGGACACCCATGGGGTGGTGCCTGGGAGCTCCCCCTCAGCATCCCTGAGAAAATCAGCTTTTATTGCCCACTCTCTGGAAAATCCTTTGTGCAGTGCCCAGGAAAAATCTGGAATCCCAGGAAAACTCTGGAATCCCAGGAAAACTCTGGAATCCCAGGAAAACTCTGGAATCCCAGGAAAACTCTGGAATCCCAGGAGAAGTGGCAGAGTTGGGGAATGTTGTGTTACAAACATCCCCCAGTGCCACCCCCAGCTCCAGAAACGCTTCCTACCCATGAGCAGGGTGAAACTGTTCTCAGCTTCCTCGTGGAAATAAAGATCCCATTATGGGTCAAGTTTTGCAATAAACACAAATTCCCAATGGGATCACGTCCCAGTGGAGCTTCAAAGATTTAACTGAATTGCCCAGAATTTAAAGGTAATTGTAAAATCCCAGAAAGGTTTGGGTGGGAAGGGACTTCAAGGATCACTCAATCCCACCCAAGGGACACCTTCCACCATCCCAGGGTGATCCAAGCCCCATCCAGCCCGGCCCTGGGCACTGCCAGGGATCCAGGGACAGCCCCAGCTGCTCTGGGCGCCTGTGCCAGGGCCTGCCCACCCTCCCAGAGAACAATTCCTGCCCAATATCCCATCCAGCCCTGCTCTCTTTCAGTTTAAAGCCATTCCCACTCCTCAAAGATGCATTTCCATTCTGCACTGCTGTGAGCAGCAGAAGCAGCGCTCTCCTCGGTCGGGTCAAGTGTCCCTTGAGGAGCCAGACAAGGAGAGGAGCTGGTTCTGCTGCTCAGGAGCTCTCTACCAACTCTTCCTGCAGGTCAGCTCCAAACTTTTTTACCTGGTGGCTCAACAAAGAAAGAGGTATCTGGTCCCTTCATGTCCTGCTGAGCTCCCATCCAGTATTCTTCAGGTGCTGTGGGGAACAAACACTCTGAGCCCAGCCCTGACCACACAGGGCCTTTCCCAGTGGAAGATCTTGACTCTGTTGCCTTGGGAGTTCATCCTCAGGGAAGTTTTACATTCCCTCTATGAGAGGTACCAGAACATGCTGCTCTTCCAGGATTATTGGGAGTGAAATGCTGAGTTACACCCAGCACTGACCCCAGGAGCCAAAAGAGGAGTTTCTTTCCTCAGTTCCTCTGGGCAAGTGGCTCTGGTCTTAGGCTCTGCCTAAGCAGGGGGTTGGAAAAGTTCCAACCTGTGAACAATCCTGTGATCTCCTAACGCAGAATCCCAGAATGGTTTGGGCTGGAAGGGACCTTAAACCCACCCAGAGCCCCCCTGCCATGGCAGGGACACCTCCCACTGTCCCAGGTGCTCCCAGCCCTGTCCAGCCTGGCCCTGGGCACTGCCAGGGATCCAGGGACAGCCCCAGCTGCTCTGGGCACTTGTGCCAAAGCCTCACACCACAACATTCCCTCTGAACCAGCAGCTGGCCATGCCAAGAGGAAACTTTCCAATTTTGGCTCATTTTATGGATCAACTCCCCACCAAGATTCTTTAGGACTTGTAAAGTGGGATTCTCCAGCTGCAAACCCTCCAAACCCAGTAAGAGGAAACATTTGCTTCTCACCTGCTTTTCCTGGCAGGAATTCTGTGCCTGACTCGAGGCCAATGAAGGCTGATGGGTCCAGAGCCTCTGCAGGGGAATACAGGGACCCCAGGAAAGGCTGTTCAGGTCCCATCATGGATCCATGTGGAGCTAAGGAAATAAAAAAAACTTCAGTTAATCACCAGCCCTAATGATTCCTCTCCTAAATTTCAAGTCCTACCACACTTGGACTGTTCTGCTCAGCAGCAGTTCAGATAAATCTGCATCAAATGTTGGTTCTGCTTCACAAACCAGAAATTCTGCGTTTAATAGAACTTTTGGACAAGGTGTAAGAGAGCAAACACAGGCAAATTATTTCCTTTGGCTTTCTGCTTCTGCTCCCATGAATTCCTGCTGGTAATCCCTTAATAATCCAATATTAATATAATAATCCAAGAGCTGAAATCCTGCACTTTGCAGAAAGAGCTCCTGAGTATCTGGGGTTTAACCAATAAAACAACAACAGGGGATAAAAAGTGAATTTCCAACCTGAATTTTCAGTAGATGGAAAGCAAGAGAGAAAACTCCACACCAGAGAGCTGGGGAGGAGCAGGAGGAGCTCACCGAGGATGTCCCTGGCAGCATCGGCGTGGCCTGGGAACAGCGGCACGTTCCTCATGTCCGTGGGGAAGGACAAATCTGGAAGGTTCTCCCCTCTGTGGAGGCTGAAAGGCTCTGCCAGAGACACAACCAGGCAGGGTCACACCCAGGGGACAGGGATTGCAACAAGGATTGCAACGCTGCACTTGCAAGGAGAAGCTGCAAGTTTTGGGATCCTTCCCCAGGAGCAAACCCCTTGGGATCAGAATTTACAGCCAGCAGTAACCCCCAGCTGCTCAGGGTGATTTTTGGGGACAATGGAGCATGGCTGTTCCTGCAGGAGCTGTGTCCTCCTGCCCTGATGGACACATCCCATGGATCTGTGTCAGGAGCAGGGCTCAGCTCAGCCCGGAGCAGGGAAAGGTGTGGGAGCTCTGAGCTCTCCCAGCCAGGAACTGCGTCCCAGTATGAACTGGGCTGATGAACTGGTATTTTAACCAAGTTACTGGGGAATGGAAACATCTCCCAGTGTCCCAGGCAGACTGTCCCATCCCTGGAAGTGCCCAAGGCCAGGCTGGACAGGGTTTGGAGCAACTTGGGGGTGTCCCTGCCATGGCAGGGGTGGCACTGGGTTGGCTTTAAGATCCCTGTCATCCGCTTCCTCTGGCCCTGGGAGCCATTCCCTGTGTCCTGTCCCTCCATCCCTTGTCCCCAGTCCCTCTCCAGCTCTCCTGGAGCCCCTTCAGGCCCTGCAAGGGGCTCTGAGCTCTCCCTGGAGCTTCTCCTCTCCAGGGGAACATTCCCAGCTCTCCCAGCCTGGCTCCAGAGGGGCTCCAGCCTGGCCTTGGGCACTGCCAGGGATCCAGGGGCAGCCCCAGCTGCTCTGGGAATTCCATCCCAGCCAGGAATTCCTTCCCAATATCCCAAAATCCAAGCAGTGGGAGCCATTCCCTGTGTCCTGTCCCTCCATCCCTTGTCCCCAGTCCCTCTCCAGCTCTCCTGGAGCCCCTTCAGGCCCTGCAAGGGGCTCTGAGCTCTCCCTGGAGCTTCTCCTCTCCAGGGGAACATTCCCAGCTCTCCCAGCCTGGCTCCAGAGGGGCTCCAGCCTGGCCTTGGGCACTGCCAGGGATCCAGGGACAGCCCCAGCTGCTCTGGGAATTCCATCCCAGCCAGGAATTCCATCCCAGCCAGGAATTCCATCCCAGCCAGGAATTCCCAATTCCCAATATCCCAAAATCCAAGCAGTGGGAGCCATTCCCACCTCCCCAGAAGGGCTCTCCAGCCCTGGCCCCGCTGCAGGGTGCAGTCCCCTTCCCTGGAGGGTTTAAAAGCCCTGTGGATGTGGCCCTTGGGGACAGGGGACGATGATGGCCTCGGCAGAGCTGGCTCCATGCTCTCAGAGGCTTTTCCAGGCTCAGCCATCCTGGGCTGACCCGCAGGATGTGCTGCAGCTTCTGCTGAGCTGCACTGGAGCTGCACAGGAGCCTTTGGAGAGAGACTCTGTCCACACTGGGGGGTTTGAAGGAAATGAGGGACAGACTGAGCTGAGCCTTGGGGACACCTTTGGCCTTCCCACAGCTGCCACAGGAGCTCTTCTGCTCTGTGCTGTTTTTGGGGGAGCCAAGACTCGTGAAGCCATTGCCTCGCCCACTTTGGCTGTGTCACGCCAGCTTTTGTCTCTCTGGAGGCACCTCAGGAGCCACCAGGAGAGGAGCAGCGAGGAGAGGAGTGAGAGTTTGAGGATGAAGAACGTTGAGAGTCTCCTCAGGCCCTGAATTCCCGTCCAGGTGGCTGCCAAGGCCGCAGCGGGGCCGGCTGTGGCTCCGAGGGTGGACACGTCCCTCGTCAGCCTCCTCGGTGGCCTGAGAGCTGCCTTTGCCATCTTCCAGATCTGCAGGAGGGCTGCTGCTCACTTCTAGCACAAAGAGCTAAATCTTGCTTTTCTGGGTGTGCTTTTGGCACAGATCATCTCGTTATTATTATTTATTCTGAATAATCACCACTGCTGATTTCTTCTGAGTCTTGTTCCCTCCCAGTCCGGTTCTGTCAAGCCCCACATGGTGATGTTTGCTGGGTCCTTCATCCACCCATGGCAAGCACCCTGTTTCTGGAGACAAATTTATTTTAAAATCCCTTATTTTTAACTTGTTGGCATTCGTGGGGCTTTGCCAGATGTAGTTTTGGGCTCTGTGGGTGATCTTGGCTGAGCGTTGGGTTGGGTTGGCCAAGCTCACCCTGCACCAAGCGCTCCAGAGTGGGTCCAGGTGGGATGAACCTGGTGTGGGTCTGGCTGTGCTCACAGGAACCTGGAGAGCTGGGTGGAGGCTGGGAAGGTTTGGAGCACTCCAGCAGCAAGAATCTCAAACACTGGAGTGGGGCTTTTCCAGGGAATGCTGGAGCTGGAGCCCAGGGATGTCCCTGCAGGTGTTGCTGTTACATTTAGGGGTGGGCTCCTTCCTCACTGCTGCCTGTAAAACCCCAAACTGAATCCTGGAGTTTGTGGGTTTAGGGGTTATTGTGGAGTCACTGGTGCACTTAAGTGAATTAAGATTTAAGATTTTTTAAGAATTCCAGACTGGTTTGGGTTGGAGGGACCTTAAAGCCCCTCCAGAGCCACCCCTGCCATGGCAGGGACACCTCCCACTGTCCCAGGCTGCTCCAAACCCCGTCCAGCCTGGCCTGGGGCAGCCCCAGCTGCTCTGGGAATTCCATCCCAGCCAGGAATTCCTTCCCAATATCCCAAAATCCAACTACTGGGAGCCATTCCCTGTGTCCTGTCCCTCCATCCCTTGTCCCCAGTCCCTCTCCAGCTCTCCTGGAGCCCCTTCAGGCCCTGCAAGGGGCTCTGAGCTCTCCCTGGAGCTTCTCCTCTCCAGGGGAACATTCCCAGCTCTCCCAGCCTGGCTCCAGGGACAGCCCCAGCTTCTCTGGACACCTGTTCCAGGGCCTCACCAGGGATAGGAATCATTTCTTGCAGTGCAGAAATCATTGGGACATCCCAAAAAAGTGATTTTCAGCGTCAGAAATAGGCGCGGCGAGGAGCCGAGCAGCGCGGAGAGGAGCAGGCAGAGAAAACCCCTGATGGCAGAAGAGCTGTGCCTCGGAGGGATGAGTGGAGGATGGCAGATGGGAATGTCCTTCCCTGTCTCCTTGAATCCCCTTTCCCTGGGGAGCGATTCCACGTCGGTGCTGACTCAGCCGGGCCGGAGGAGCCGGCTCGGGGCACAGCAGCTCCAACAAAACGCCTTTCAAAGATCTTTCAGGGCCTTCTTGCTGTGCTTGGGGGAGCAGGCAAACTGAAAAGTCTCTTAAATAATTCCTGCAGCCTAATGAACAAATTTGATTAAGGTTTGGCAGCTTTTCCTAATATTCCCTGTAACTAGGAAATGTTCCCAGTTCTCAGAACAGCCTCGTAATTAAACCATGAATGAGAGCAAATGTCCTGATGAGCACAGGACAAATGAGGATTAAACCCCAAACCTGTCCTTCTGTAATCCCTGGGGGATGGTGCAGGCTTGTGTGTTCTGGAATGTCAGAGACAGAGCCTGAATCACAGCCCCTCAAGTAGGGAAGTTCTCACCCCAGCTCCCCTGAAGAAATATTTTTTTAAAAATTTTTAAATTAAAATAATAATAATAATAATAATAACAATAACAATAATAATAATAATAATAATAATAATAATAATAATATCATCATCATTATCATCATTATCATCATCATCATCATCATCATATCATCATCATCATCATCATGGAATGGTTTTGGGGGGGTTGGAGGGACCTTAAACCACCCCTGCCATGCAGGGACACCCCCACCATCCCAGGCTGCTCCAGCCTGGTCTTGGGCACTTCCAGGGATCCAGGTGCAGCCACAGCTGCTCTGGAAATTCCATCCCAGCCAGGAATTCCTTCCCAATATCCCATCCTTCCCTGCCCTGTGGCTGTGGGAGCCAATTCCTGGGTTCTGTCCTGGTTTTTATTCACCTTCTATTAAGCATGAAATAACGTGAAATTCACGTTGTCATTGGTTCAGAAACATGGAAACTGCTGGAGTTTAAATCCTGAACCTTTGGATTTGTGGAGCACTCCCTGATCCTGGGAATTCATGGCAGGGGTTTAACGTTGGTGCTGAATTAGCTGAAATAATTAATGACAATTAATGACAGCAGCTGGGAAGTCACCTCGGTGCTGGGGATATTTGGGACTGGTAGGATTCCAAATGTTCCCTGGAGCAGGGAATGGGCAGGAGGGTGTTTGTCAGGAGAGGGAACTGCTGACAGGGCTGTGGGTGGAACTGACAGGTGAGATGAAGATTCAGGTTCATTGAAATGCAGGGGAGGAATCAGGTAGAGAGGAGCCAATACAGATCAGCTGCAATAAAAACGGGTTTTCCAGGTGAACAGACACAAATCCTCAGAGTTTTACATTAAAACAGCTGTTCAACCTCTACATTTTGCTGGTTTTCCTCCTTTATGTGCCCAGGATGCTCAGCCCAACGCTGCAAAACTGGAAAGCCAGATGGGTTGGAAGGGGTTAAACTAATTCAGGGGGGAAAAAATGTTTCTCCTGAACTTAGCCTGGAGTCAGAACATAAAAACAACAACCCCAAACTCTGGTGGGAGGGAGGCACGGGGTGATTTTATTTTCCTGAGCCATCCTCTGAGACGCTGCTGTTAAGTCTGACAAGCAGGAAAAGGAGGAATAGGAGCAGTGATTTCCAAAAGATGTGAGAACAGGCTGTTTACTGCTGGAATTGTTACCCTGGGCTTGTCACAATCTGTTGCAGGGTTATAAAAAGCAAGGTCCAACACGGATCAGGCTGGATTTGAATCCCCAGGTGACAGGGGAGATGCAGGAATTGATGCTGGGCTGTTGGCACAGGATCCTGCCTGAAATTCCAGCGCTGCAGGAGCTGCAGGGAAGGAGCTCAGGGCAGTGTGTGCAGCTCCACCGTGGCCAAGGAGGGGCTGGCAGAGGTTTCTGGGGAAGCTGCTCCTTGTTTGTTCCCTGCTGCTGCAGGATTTTGGGGATTTGGGGAGAAAACTGCTCCTAAGTGAAGGTTTTGTTGGGCTGGAGGGCGGTGCTGGTGCTGCTGTGGTTGGACACTGCTTTGGTTCTGTGTTTTCAGAGGACACCAGGAGGAGATGCTGCTCTCCTGGCCCTGGGGACAGCCTGGCTGTGTTCACTGTCCCCACCCCGTGTCACAGCTCAGGTGACAATGGCCAGGATGGGAAATCACAGGGAAATCACTGGGAAATCACAGGGAGAACGGGCACTTCCTGCAGCTGAACCTGAGCTTGGTGCTGTAACACAGCGTGATGGGATCTCCATGGTCCTGCTCTCCTGGGAATCTTGGAATGGTTTGCATGGAAAGAGGCATTAAGGACCATCCCATCTCACCTGGGACACCTTCCACTGTCCCAGCTCCATCCAGCCTGGCCTTGGGCACTGCCAGGGATCCAGGGGCAGCCCCAGCTGCTCTGGGAATTCCATCCCAGCCAGGAATTCCTTCCCAATATCCCAAAATCCAACCAGTGGGAGCCATTCCCTGTGTCCTGTCCCTCCATCCCTTGTCCCCAGTCCTTCTCCAGCTCTCCTGGAGCCCCTTCAGGCCCTGCAAGGGGCTCTGAGCTCTCCCTGGAGCCTTCTCCTCTCCAGGGGAACATTCCTAGCTCTCCCAGCCTGGCTCCAGAGGGGCTCCAGCCCTGGAGCTCCAGGTTCCTCCTGAGCTGTTGGATCCAGGGCTGGGAGCTGGGACCTTTCTTTCAGCTGCTGGGAATCCTCCCTGCTCCCCAGGGGCTCCAGCTGTGGATGTGGGCAGGAGAAAGCTTGAGCAGGAGCAGCTGTAACAACAGGGACAGTTGGGAACAGAACCCACTCCAGGAAAAGTGTCAAACCTGGAAGAGGTCAGAACTTCACCATTAACATTCCAATAATTTATTGTAACGACTTGAAAGATGAGAAGGTTTGCTATGTAAATTAAACCATGGGTTTCCTTCACCTGCTGGCTGGCTTTTCCCACTGGGATAACAGGAGAAATTGGAATCTAACAGCATCTGGATGAAGCTGTCCTGTTGCAGGGAAAATCTTTCTTCCTGCAGGTATTCTGAGGTTTAGGAAATTTTCCACTAACACCAACCTGTGCTGGTCTGTCTCCTGCTGCTGCTGTGTTCAATAACAAGAAACTAAAAAATACATCTTTAAAAACAAATAAAAAATCATAAACTTACAAATCTCCCTTGGTTCCCCCAGCCAAACCAGAGGAGCCCAAAGCAGCCGAGGCCGTGAGTGGGAACGACATCACAGCTCCTCCCAACAAGGAGCTTCCTCCCAGCCCCGAGAAGAAGACCAAGGTAGGAGCTGCTCCCTGTTGGAACATCATCTCCGTGGGTTCCACCTGCTGCCTCTTCTGCTTCCTCAGCTGTGCCAGCCCCAGTTCTGTTCTCTGAGCTGCCCTTCCCTGCAGCAAACCCATCCCAAGCCATCCACCAACAGAGCCCGTGCCAAACTCAAAGTGTGGAAGTGACTTCCCTGGCTGGTGCTGCTGATTGCGGCGGTAGTAAACACGTAGTAAAGGTGTAGTAACACCTGTGCTCCGTGAGCTGTTCCCTGTGCTCACAGGGTCCTGCCCAGACCCCTCTGGCTTGGCAGCTCTGCTCTCAGGAGCTTGCAGCACTCAGCAGAGTCCCCCTGAGTGTCCCCAGTGCTGCTGGGGGGGTCTCTGCCCTCTGCCCGTGGAGCTGATCTGCTGAGGATTGGGAGTGCAATCCCCACGGGCCCCAAATTGGAAATCCACAGCCTGGGGATTGCACAGAGCTCTGCATGTCAGGAGCACCCAATTGCTAATCCAGCTTTACCAGCCATTCCTTCTGGTGCTTTCCATGCTGCTGAAATAATCCTGTTGGTTTGGAATTGAATGGCAGAACCCCCCCAGCACTGGGGGCCGCTGCTTTTCGGTCTTTGTTGCACTCAGAAAACAGAAAGCTGCTTTTTAAATTATTATTTATTATTATTTATTATTATTGCTATTATTGCTGCTATTATTATTATTATTATTATTATTATTATTATTATTATTATTAATTGCTATTCTTATGATTTGTTTCCTTTAAAAATATCACTTTTCTGTTGTTGCAGCTCAATGTTTTGGTTTACAATGCGCTATTTTTTGTTGTATTTCTTTGGTTTTATCCTGGATTTTGCTTTTTGGCCCAACCCTAAAGCCTGCTGCATCCAGCTCCGCTCCAAAGCCGGCAGCAGCGAAGGCCAAGCCCTCGGCCACCACCAGCCCCAAGCGGCCGAGCTCGGCCACCCCGGGCACAAACAAAAAGGCCACGAGCCCAACTGCAGGTCCTACTCCAGGCACCACTGCCAAACGCCCCGGCACCAGCAGCACCCGTCCCTCCACCTTAACTCCAAAAGAGACTAAACCAAAGGTAAGAAGTGCCTGGCTCTGGGGAGCAGCCGGGGCTCGCTGGCAGGGGACGTTCCTGTGCTCCTGGGTTCCTGTGCTCGGATCAAAAATGGGATTTGGTGTGTTGGGAGCAGCTTCCCAGGGATGGCATCGTGTCCCTGGCACTGAGTTGTGTCACCACAGGGGAGAATGGAAGCTGAGTGTGGTGCTGGGATTGTCCTGGTGAGCTGCTGTGAATCAGGGATCCCAGGCTGGGTTGGGCTGGAATGGAACTTCAATCCCATCGCATTCCAGCCCTGCCATGGTCAGGGACACCTCCCACTGTCCCAGGCTGCTCCAAAATCCATCCAGCCTGGCCTGGGACACTACCAGGGATCCAGATTGTGTGGGAATTCCATCCCAGACTCTCCCCACCCTCCCATCCAGGAATTCCTTCTGTATACAACTCCTAAATCCAGACAAGAACATGGGAATCCTGACTGGAGACCTTTGATATGAATAGTGAAGAAAAACAAATCCACGTGAGCGCTCCACATTTTCCACCTCTGGTCATTTTATGATGTCTGGTCACTGCAGAACTGCACAGAGAGGATTGATAACACTCAGAAAACCTTGGGGATTTGTAATTCCCCAAAAGAGAGGGTTCATGGACAGTGTTGCACGTCCAGACAAGCAGGGAATCCCCGTGTGTTAGGAACGGGAGGTGTCCCTTGAATGTTCCCTGTGTTGTCATCTTACAGAGCAGAGGACTTCAACTTTAAAAGGGAACATCAAAACCTATTTCAGAAGCTTTCACTGATGGCTGAGCACCACCACTGCTGCTGAATTAAGCTCAAATTACTGCATTTGAGTGTCTTTTAGAAATAACTAAAAATAACAGAAGGCAAAATGAAAGCCCCAGTGTAAATGTGCACTTTTCTCTGAGCTGGTGACTTTGGTTTGGTTCAAGTTTTTGTATCATTCTGAATCCCTTTTTGATAAAATAATATTTATTCCCTTGCATTAATTCAGTATTTTCATACTTCAGGGTTGACAAACAAGTGCCTGACCAGGGCCAGCAGGAAAGAGTTTTCCAAGTGAGGGATGAGCCACAGACACCCGATTTTCCTGTCCTCAGTGTTTTAATAAATTCCAGCTTAGGGAGCTTTCCTGCTCCTGGGGGATGGGAATCTCTCCCAGGAGCATTTCTGGTGTTCTGATGATTCCATTTTATCCAGAAATCAAAACCTCCTTCCCAGCTCCACACATCCAAGCTGAGCCAGCCCTGGGTGGGACCCGCTCCTCGGCGGGGCCCGTGCTCCGTGTCCTCCTCCACACCATCACATCTTCATTATATTTTAATTGCATTATAATTTCAGCAGTGCCAGCCTTAATTAAGTGTTTAAGAATTCCAGCAGCGATTTCTGTTCATTTCAGCCTGTTCTGGCCCCTCCCGTTCCCGCTGAGCGCGGCGCTTGGCCGGTGACATCCCGGCCGTTCTGACACCTCCCGCTCCCTTTCAGGTCGCGGATGCGAAGCCCGCGGAGAAGAGAACTTCCCTCTCCAAGCCTCCATCCTCCACCACTCCTAAAACTCCTTCCAGGAGCTCCTCTGCTGCTCCCCGGACCACGGCACCATCGCCGGTGACGGCAGCGGCCGCTGCCAAAACCACGGCGGCGACTCCTCCCAAGAGGCCGACGTGTGAGTGCTCCCTCCTTTTCCCTCCTTTTCCCTCCTTTTCCCTCCTTTTCCCTCCTTTTCCGTCCTTTTCCCTTGGGAATCTGTCCTTCAGGTGCTCTCCACAGCTGCCTGGCAGGAGGGATATTCCAGATTTCATCATGGAAAAAGCTGCCCAGGGCAGTGTGCTCAAAAGCTGCTCCATCGTTGTCTGGATTCTGACAGTAGCTCAAATGTTTTTCTCTCCAGGGCTTCCTCTTCCAAACTCCCTTCAGGGCCAACCTGGATCAGCTCTGTGTGATCCAGGGTTAATTCAATTACTGGACACACTTGATTTAAGAGTGGGCATTCTATCCCCTCTGTATTTTGCCATAGGAACAGAATAAATATTAAATAAAAGCTTAGGAAAGCAAATCTTGGGTTTAGGAAATAAAATAAAATAAAATAAATAAATAAAAAATAAATACAATTAAATGAAAGCTTAGGAAAGCAAATCAGACTTGAGATGCCTGAACTGGTGTGTGAAATCCAAAAAGAGCTGAGCAGAAGCAGAGGGTTTGTAGTAGAGCAGGAAGAATTTGGAGCTGAAATCACATCAGCTTCATCCAAAAACTGTCCCTTGCTGCTAAAGAGGGAACTTCCCATGAGTTCAACAGGAGAGCTGAGCAGTGTTTTAGATAAACTCACACTGCTCTCACTCCTTTTAATGGAGCTCAAGAGATTTAACATCAGATAAAATTATAGTTTACCTCTTCTCAAGTCATTTCAAATGACCCTCAGTGACAAAACTTGTTAATAAAGGTGTAAAATGACACAGAGTGCTTTGAATCCCAAAGCATGGATTCACATCCCAGCTTTCCCAAAAGAATTGTCGTGTTTTGGCTGTGTTGGGATGGATTCAGCCCCATGGACATCCCAGACTTTATGCTGTGGGGTAAAATCTAATTAATCAAGTGTAGAGAAGGTGTTGCACATTCCAAGTGCCACGTATCCTGTCTGATCCTGTGGCCATCCTGCTAAAACTCATTTTGTGTGGTCTTGGAGGCAAACTGGAGCAGGATCTGTTCTAATGAGCTGGGCTCATTCCTCCTGCCCAAACCAAACCACGAACAAAGGAGCGTTTGCTGCTGAAAAGAGACGGAGGCAGCGATGCAGAGCTCTGGGAGGTCGTTCCAAGAGGCAGGATGTGCAGAGGAGGAGCCTCGTGGGAGCCTGGCAGGGCCCAGGGGGTGAGGGAGGATGAGGTCAGCTGGAGGGATTCCATGGGGAGGCTGAGCTGCCCTGGCTGGGTCTGGAAATGCACAGAGGCAGGAATGGGAAGGGCAGGGGGTCCCGTTCTGGGTGAGGTGGAAGCTGGGGTGGGACAGAGGGCAGATGGTGCCCTGGGGCCTCAAGGGAACCACAGTGAGCCAATGAGTGATGCTCAGGGTTTGGTTTGGCTTAGTTTGACTAAGTTTGGTTTGACTTGGCTTGGTTTGGTTTGGTTTGGTTTGGGTTTGGCTTGGTTTGGTTTGGTTTGGTTTGGTTTGGTTTGATTTGGTTGGGTTTGGGTTTGGTTTGGTTGAGTTCTGTTTGGTTGGGTTAGGTTTAGTTGGGTTTAGTTTGGTTTGGTTTGGTTGGGTTGGGTTGGGTTTGGTTGGGTTTGGTTTGGTTGGGTTTGGTTTGGTTTGGGTGAGATGTGGGTGGGGACACCTGGAGCTCTTGGGGTCACAGCTCTGATCAGCTCCTTTAGAGGAGGGGACAGCCTTGGGGTCGGGCTCTGCTGCCAGGAACAGGGCCAGGAGGAGAGGGAACGGCCTCAGGGTGGGCCAGGGGAGGCTCAGGGTGGAAATTGGGGAAATTCCTCATGGGAAGGGTGGTGAGGCCTTGGAATGGGCTGTGCAGGGCTCAGGTGAATATTCCTCATGGGAATTCCTTCAGGGGAAATTCCTCATGGGAAGGGTGGTGAGGCCCATTGTGCAGGGCAGTGCTGGAGCCCCATCCCCGGAGAGATTTCGGAGCCGTGTGGATGTGGCACCTGGGGACAGGGTCAGTGCTGGGGAGCAGCTGCACTGGATGTGGGACTTTTCCAAGCACAGTGATTCCATGGATTTAGTTTCTCATGACAGTGTTGAGCCAGAGAATAAGTTTGGGGTGGTGTTTGTGGCTGAAGATGCTCTTTCAGGACAGCTGCTGGTGCTGTGCCTTGAGCTGCCACCAAGCTTCAGTCATTGTCTCACATGAAATGTGTGTGTAAAGGCCAGGTTTGACTCACAGCTTCACTTCCTCACGTATTTTCAGGTCAGTCATTTTCTCTGCTAAAGGAGAGCCGTGGGTTATGTGGGACTTGATATTTTGATTTTTAATTCTATTTTTTCATTAGTTTTTGTGTCCCCCTCCCTGTGGAAATGACTTTAATGTTTGTACAAGACCACGCTCAGCCCTTCAGATCAGGCACAGATCAAAGCCTGTCACCACAGACCATTGTCCCAGGGGTTTTGTCTGAGTTTTCAGCACCTCAGGTTCATACAGACACAAGTGTTCAGCATTTGGCTCCCCACTGGCACCAGCAGACATAACATCTCTCTGTATATTAATGTAACATAATATTCCTTTGCCTTTTACACAACCCTAAGTCTGTTCTGTCCCTGCAGCTTCCCCAATTAAAGCTGTGGTCTCAAGGAATGAAATTAGGTTGGTTTGCCAGCCCCTTGTTTGAAGTGTTTGCTATTAATTATGTATCCATCCTTTAGGCCTTATTAAATTATCCAAATGGGTTTCACCTCATTAGCTGGAATCTTATCTGGGGTGTTTAATTGAATGCTTTTAGCAAAGTCAGGGTGGAATGATCCAGACTAACTTGGCCTGTAGTTATCTGCCTCTTCCCCTTGGTCTTTTTGGTATTGATATTCCATAAAGGACCCTGACAGCTGCTGGAGTGTATCTAAAACTCTGAAACTTAATGGAAATTAAACACTGAAAAATGAGGGTTTTCATAATTTCTAACTTGGGTCTTTTCCATTTATTATTTCTTTTCAACGTTGCCTTCCTTTGGCTGTTGAAACGAAGCAGGTTTTACCCAAATTTGCCCATCACTGATAATAAAACCCCTACAATTTCATGACCAAAGATAGTTGATAAATAAATAAAGTTCCATTTCTATTTTTCAGTCCGTGGTTTTTGCCTTGATCAATTTGGTGTTTGGTTTTCTCCTGCTTGGAGAAGCGTGGCTGCATCATCCCTGGTTCAGAGTGTCCTCTGTGCAGTGTAATCAGGTCATGATCGTTGGGCTTTGCCCAAAGGCAGCTCAGTTTAGGGATTGATTTTTGGGTTTATACAATTAAAATAGGAGCCAAAATATGTGCAATAACTCCTGTGCAAGAAAATTGGCACAGGGTAGGACTGGTCTGGCAATGAGAGCAAGGTTGGGCAAGGACAAACGAGGGGTTGATTTTGTTACTTTTTAAAGAAAGGAAATGTTTTGGGTTTTGGTTTTTGTGCTCAGTTGGGGGTTTTTTTTTTAAGAAATGAAGGTGTGGCAGGATTAAAACACTCCCAGTGAGTGCTGTCAGAGCCAGGAAGTTAATGTGAGGAGAGACAAAATGCAAGCCATCCCCAGGTGTGGGCTGTCACCGAATGAGGATCCTTTGACATGAATTGGTGCTTTGGCTGCAAAACAGGAGAGGGTTTTGGTGCCAGCAGGAGCTCCCCAGGCAGGTGCTCACACAGAGCAGTTAATCCCTGGGCTGATTCCAGGCCTGGAATGCTGCAGGGATCCTCCTCTGACCGCTGTGTTTGTCTTGGCAGCGATCAAGACGGACGCGAAGCCGGCAGATGCCAAGAAAACGCCAGCGAAGTCTCCCTCAGGTAACTGCTCACTTTCCATCTCACTGTGGAAATCCTTCCTGGGAAAACCCTGGAAAAGCAACCCCCAGCACTGCTGAGGCCACCTCTGACCATGTCCCCAAGTGCCACATCCACAGGGATTTAAATCCCTCCAGCAGTGGGGGCTGAACCCTGAGCTGGGCCTGGCCTGGAGAGGCTTTTTGGGGAAGGAATATTCTGAATTTCCAGCTGAGCCTCCCCTGGCCCAGCCTGAGGCCGTTCCCTCAGTCTGAATCCAACCCCCATTGTTTGGGGCTGGGGTCACTCAGGGGGTCCCTGTACATCTCTGGGAATGTCCCAGGCCGGGCTCGGAGCAGCCTGGCCCAGTGGAAGGTGTGGCTGCCATGGCAGGGCTGGGATGGGGCAGGGTGTGTCTGAGGCACTTGGTGTTACAGGCCCTGATCCCCATTTTCCCCCCTTTCCTCCCTCATTCCCTGATCCCCCAGCAGATCCCAGCCGCCCCAAGAGCGCTCCTGGCAGCACCGGTGCCACCAAGAGCAGCACCACCACTCCTTCCACCGCGGCCTCCAGCGCTCCCGGCGCGGCCGGCGGGCGCCCCAAGCCCAAAACCGCCGCCCCCAAAGCCGCCGCGGCCTCCACGGTGTCGGCGGATGCCAAGAAAACCACGGCCAAGGCCTCGGGCAAGGTCAGCGCCCCCAAAGCGGCTCGGCCGGCCAGCAGCGCCTCGGCCCCCGACCTGAAGAACGTCCGCTCCAAGATCGGCTCCACGGACAACATCAAACACCAGCCCGGGGGAGGGAAGGTGAGCCCCGGCCTGCGCCGCGCTGGGCCCCGCTGGGCCGGGCCCTCAGCGCTCGCTCCACACAGCTCCTCGCTGGGCTCCTGCTTGGGATCCCCCTGAGCCACCCCCTGCTCCTGGAACTCCTGCAGGGATCCAGAGCTCCTCGCTGGGCTCCTGCTTGGGATCCCCCTGAGCCACCCCCAGCTCCTGGAATTCCTGCAGGGATCCAGAGCCTTCATCAGGTTCCTGCTTGGGATCCCCCTGAGCCACCCCCTGCTCCTGGAATTCCTGCAGGGATCCAGAGCTCCTCGCTGGGCTCCTGCTTGGGATCCCCCTGAGCCACTTCTGGCTCCTGGAATTCCTGAGGGATCCAGAGCTCCTCGCTGGGTTCCTGCATGGGATCCCCTGCTCATAGAATTCCTGCAGGATCCAGAGCCCTCACCCAGTTCCTGCTTGGGATCCCCAGCTCCTGGAACTCCTGCAGGGATCCAGAGCCTTCATCAGCTTGCTGCTTGGGATCCCCCTGAGCCACCCCCTGCTCCTGGAACTCCTGCAGGGATCCAGAGCTCCTCGCTGGGTTCCTGCTTGGGATCCCCCACTCCTGGAATTCCTGCAGGGATCCAGAGCCTTTATCAGGTTCCTGCTTGGGATCCCCCTGAGCCACCCCCAGCTCCTGGAATTCCTGCAGGGGTCCAGGGCCCTTACCAGGTTCCTGCTTGGGATCCCCCACTCCTGGAATTCCTGCAGGGATCCAGAGCTCCTCACTGGGTTCCTGCTTGGGATCCCCCACTCCTGGAATTCCTGCAGGGATCCAGAGCTCCGCTGCTGCTCTCCTGTCCCTGGGCCTGCCTCAGAACCACCTTGTCAGTGTTCCAACCCCTGCCTTTGAGTCGAGCTGAGGCTGCTGAGTGGGACAGAAGGTGGAATAGTGTGCTAGGGTGAGGGAGATCCAGATTTGGGTGCAAGGACCACAGCACCTTTCCCATACCCAAGTCATCAGGCCCAAAGCTGACACAGAACCAGTCCCTTGGGAGCGCCCGTGGTGGGCACAGGGAGAGGGTAGTGCTGCAAAACCATCACCAGAGATAAAACCTGGGGCTCTCACTGCCTCCTGATGCTCTTGGATGGCACTTCCACCCTCAGCACGTCCTTCCCACGGGAAGGAGAAGGGTGTCAGGGTGTCAGGACAAGCCTGCAGCCCCTGCTGAGCACTGAGCAGCCAGAGCTTGTGGTTCCTCAACTCCTCCCTCTTCTCTCTACTGCATAACCCAGGCCAGAGCTCTTAACCTGCTGCCAGAGGAGCACATTCCATGCTGGGAGCCTTAATCTGCTCTCAGGCACATGAAAGTCAAGGGCACTCCTGGCTGGCTGCTGTGTGTCCCAGACAGCATCGATACAGCATGGATTTATCCTCAGAGTCAGCAGCACAGCCCTCCTCCTGTCAGCTCAAGGGATTCAGTTTGCATTGAATTGCACTGCCCTTCATTTTCTAAATATTCTCATCGAGTTACTAAATCCTAACAATTGCCTTGTTAAGCAAACTGTGCTTTTTGTAGTCTAATTAACATGAAACTGCTTTTAGAGTTTGAGAATGTTGTAGTGTTGGGGTTTTTTTTGTTCACTGGTATGTAGATTAGTGAAATACAAGATTTATGCTGAGCCCCACCCCCCCCAGAAAAATGCAGGTTCTGCTGCACTTCTGCATCTAAACTGTGAAAACAATGGATATTACCAACTCTGGTTACTGAATTTTTATAAAACCTGTAAATTTTCCTTCAATTTTCTGCTCAGCTGGACTCTGTAGGTGCAGCTGCCTTTTGGTAGGTAAAAGTGAAATGTGCTGTTGAGCCCAGAGGCCGAGTGCAGCGTGGCTGGGTGGGAATGTGAGCTCCAGCACGGGCTGTGTGTCCAGCAGAGCTCCCAGAGCAGCCCTGGCTGTCTCTGCCTCCCCAGTCTGCACCAGCTCCTCCATGTGAAGGAGGTGCTGTTGGGTTCCCCAAGGATTTGGTTGGATTTTTTTGGTAGGATCAGTGTCCTGGGGTCACGTGGATCCCAAGGAAGAGCACCAGGAGCTTTTTGAGAACTGAATCCTTGGTGTGTGGCCCCAGGGCTGGGCGATGCTGTGCCCTCGGTGTCACCGGTCCCTGGGCGTGGGATTATCCTTGGCCTGGGAATTAGAGCATGCAAGGAGTTCTCCTGGGTCACCTGCTGCAGCAGGTTTATCCCTGTTCCAGTGCCCACACTTCTGCTTTTGCTGGTTGAAACCATCCCTTTGTCTCCATCCAGGGGAAAATAGAGAAAAGGCCCGAGCCAGCCGCCGCCGCGCCCAGGTCTGAGCCCAGCACGGGCACTAAAGTGGCTCCTAAAGCAGCCTCAGCAAAAGAGGGGGTCCCCAAACAGCCCAATGGGAAAGTGAGTTCCTTTCAGACTTTTCTCTGGGGGAGATGAAGGAAAACGTTTCCATTTTGAGTCACTGTCCCTCCTCTCCAGCTGTCCTCCTCTCTCCTGTCAGTGGCACTGTTCCTTGCACAGACACTTCCCGTTCTCTCTCGGGCACCCTGAGATGTTCCCAGGGAAACTCCTCCAGGGAGGGAGGGATCTTCTCCCCCTCTGCTGGAAAGGTCTCCAGAGCAGAGTTCTCCTGTTTCACTTCCAGGTTAATACATCCTTAACTGTGAGCCTGAGGGTTTCCCTCAAAGCCAGCTCTTCACACACACAGCCAGTTTGTAACGAGGAGAGAGGCTGAGCTCACAGCTGCTTCCTTTAGGATTGCAGAATACGAAGGAATTCACATCTTTCCTGCAATATTCCCAACCCAGTTGTACCAAAACTCTGGAACTCCAAGCCTGAGGCCATCACCATTTGGTTACTCCAAAGTACAAGTGGATGGTGTGAGGTGGGAGTGCCAGAGTTTAATTCCAGTAGGATCAGGCAGGAATGGTCAGGAATGAAGAGGATTTGTAGCTCTAGGGAGTCAGTGAACCACCCCACCCTCCATGGCACAGTTGTGTTCCCACAGCTGCTGCTCCCTGGATCCTGAATCCTTCTGACCTGGCTGAGGAGCTCTGGGGAGCTGCCCAAGAGTTGGGTGATCCCTGTTGTGCTCCAGGTTTGGAACCTCCTCTTGCACAAGTCAGGATGCAGCTGGGGCCGCTCGTGCTGGGGTGAATAACTGCAGGCTAAGCCGTGCTGTTACTAACCTGTGTAAACCCTGTGTAAACACTGCTGTCTAACCCAGCTACTGCTGGGAGCAGAGCTCACCTCAGCCACTCCTCTTGTATTTAAAAACCACAGAATCATTGAGGCTGGAGAAGCTCTTTGAGGTCATGCAGTCCAGCACTGCTGAGCCACCGCCAGCCACGTTCTCACACCTTAAATCTGAGTCAGTGAGGAGGAGAAACAATTCCATTAACCTAAAACTCACCTGACATCGTTCCTCTGAAGGGGTCCCACCTTCAATAGAAAGGTGGGACACCCTCAGGGCTGGGACAGGCCCCACTTTCAACAGAAGGATGTTTCTCAGACCCAGCTTTGCTGCCCAGGACTTTGGAGGGACGTTGTTCAGGGCTGGAGCCAGTCCAGGTGTGGGCACGGACTCCTCCCAGCACGGTGGCTCCGAGGGCTGGCTCTCCCTGCTCTGGGGCAGCTGTCACTGGAAACCTCCCAGGAGGCTTCCTGGGGCATGGAGAGTGCCATGCCATCCTCTGGGCTGGCTCTCCCTGTTCCAGGGAGCTCTCCAGGGCGGTCCCATCCCGCTACCCACGGTGCTCCCAGCCTGGCACTAACACTGTCTGTGCAGCTCCTGTCCTCCACTTCTCTCACTGTCCCTCTCTCGGTGGCTTCCCCCGGCGCTGGGCGAGTCCCACACGCTCCCTGCTGCTCCAGCACCCCTCAGCCTCCTGCTGAATGACAACTCTAACCAGTCCTCTTCCCTTGTGTTGTTTTCCGTTCTGTAACGTTCCAGGTCCAGATAGTCTCCAAAAAAGCGAACTACAGCCATGTTCAGTCCAAGTGTGGTTCCAAGGACAATATTAAGCATGTCCCTGGAGGTGGGAATGTAAGTATGGGTCTGGGCAAGCTGTCTGTCTGCTAACTCCTTCTCTGCTGCTGTGTTGGGTGTGCCAGCCTCAGGAGCGCTCTGCTGGAGGCAGAGGCTGTGGCAGAGCCCCAGGGCTCCTGGAGACAGCTCAGCCTGGAGGATTATTGCATTTTCTCTCGGGCTGCCAGGCTGAACTGTGTGTTTTGTTTCAGTGTACAGCTACACCTGGGCTGTTCCTGCTTTCTGGGCTGGCCACGGCCAAACTCAGACGTGGCTGAGCCTGGGCTGGGAGTTCCCTCAGTGCCTCCTCACTCCCTGAGCTCCCCTGGAACCTGGATCTCCCACAGCAGATGAATTATGGCCTGGAAGGGCCTGGTACTCTCCCCTGGCTCACAGGGCCAGCTGGAGCCACACTCATTCACTTCTTGTTTCATAAAAGGGACTTTGGAGCAGGCAAAGGCTCTGGGATTTAACCTTTGAGCTGTGATTAATTTCTAAATTTAAAGGCTGCTGGTATCTCTGGCAGCAGGGCTGAGCTCATTAAAATAGAACGTTAATCTGGTGGTGTCTGCAGCTTGGTTTGGGGTGTTGGATGCTCCAAATGCCTGCCTGGCAGCCCAGGTTAACCATGCAGAGCCTGACAAAGCTGGGCTGCTGGCACAGGACGGGCTCAGGAATGCAAACTTTGGGTGCTTTCAAAGACACTGAAGGACTTGAGCCCAAGGAAGTTTTTTGAAGAGGTGTCTAAATGTCCTGGGTTCCTGAGGATGTCCAGCTGTCACATCTGAGGTGCCCAGGGTGTCTGGTCAGAGTCTGGTGCAGTGACACAAACCCCGCTCAGGACCTGCCTGTGGAGCCAGCTTGGGGCCACTTTTCCTGGGAAAAGCTGGCTGAACCTCTACATGACTGATCTTTCCACAAATCCTCACAAAGTGGCAACCAAATGTGGGTCCTTAACAATTAATTCCTTCCAGGTTGCTTGCCAAGGTGGCCACAGACAGATGCTGAAGTCACTGATCCCAGGCTGCCTTCCCACATCCCTGCTGGGGGTTTGGGATTTGTGCTTCTCACTTGCTGTTTCCATGATTTACACCGTGTCTACGGGAGTGTTTCCATGGAAATGCTCCCCCAGGATATCTGGGAATGCTGCTGGGAGCCCTGCTGTCCATGGGGAGCCCTCAGGGTGTTTTTGAGCCCAGTTTCTATTCCTGCTGCCTGTTCCACCTGGTCCCATCCCCCAGCCGGTGGCAGAAGTGTCCTTGGCCACCCTGGTGACAGTTTCTGGAGCATTTCCCTGTCCATGCACTCCAAGGAGCTGTTTGGTTTATAAAATACAGCCATATATAAATAATAATATTATAATATAATATAAACCACTTCAATTTTGCCATCTTTACATTGTTCAGCCTTTCAGGAGTCTCACAGGTGCCTTTCCTGTTCTTTCAGGCTACCAGAAATGGGGCTGAAATGTGGGGGAATCTTTCTTTGCCTAATTAACTGTGTCAGTGAAGTGTCCTTCTGCTCCTGAATCACCATCCTGTCCTTCTTTCTGCAGTGCCAGCCATTCCCAGCCCTAGGGACAGCTGTGTCCCTGCTTTCTTCTTCTCTTCTCCTCTCCCACACTCCCCTCTCACCACTGCAGTTTTGCTCCTTGCTCAACTACTTAAGCAGCTCTTTATTCTGCATTTTCCGAGCCAAAAGCTCATTCCCAGGTTCCAAATGCTCCCAGAGCAGCTCCAGGCAAGCATTCCCAGCCCTCCAGCACAGGCAGTGTGGATGTGACTGCTCAGTGTCTTCCCAAAAAAATTCATTTTCTTTAATTCATTTTTGTGTCTTCCCCACTCCCTTTGGAGCACTGTGATTTTAGCGACCTCCTCCAAGGTGTTTTCTTGTTCAAACAGTTGTGATGATCCCTTCTGGTAGAGCTCCCAGTGTTTGATCCCAGCTGGAGCTGTCTGGAAGGTCTCTTCTGGTCTGTGCCTTCAGCTTTTAGGGATCCTAAAAGAGTGTTGTGGTTTGGAAAAGATGCCTGGTGGAGCTGTAGGGCTGCTGTGGTGGAAGTGATGGACATGGAATGGTTTGGGTTGGAAAGGACCTTAAAGATCATTGAGTGCCCCTGGCTGCTCCAAGGGCTGCCCAGCCTGGCCTGGGACACTCCCAGGGCTGGGCATTGTCCTGCCACCCCAGCCAGGTGGCTCCAGGCTGGCTCTCTGGTCAGGTGCCCACTGTGCCCTCTATCCAAGGAGATCATTTCTTCTCCATGCCAAGATTCCCCAGAAGCAGGAGCAGTGGTTCCTGCTCACCTTACACTCACCAGAAAGACACAGAGTTCAGTTTCCTGGGGAAAAGGTTTTGATGGGTTTTTGTTTAGCATTTCCCACTCTCAGAACCACTGAGGTTGGAAAAGATCTCCAAGACCATCGAGCCCAACCTTTGACCGAGCTTTCTGTTCAGAGGAAGCAGCAGAGGTGGAATTTACAAAGTGCAGTGTTGTGTTGGTGAAGGTCTGAAGGGAATTTGGAGTGTCCACGTGTTTCCCTGTCCCGTGCCTTGGCTGGATTGGGAAGTGCTCAGGGACAGAAAAACCAGCAAGAGTTGAGGCTCACAAGTCCCCAGCTGAGCCTCTGCCAAACTCCCAGAGTTTATTTCTGGCACACAGTCTGTGTTTGGCTCTCCAGCTCCTGTCTCCTACACAGACCCTTCCATGCAGGGGGACAGTCGGGATCTCAGGGCAGGAGTCACAGCTCTAACAAGCAGCAGCATTTCAAAGTGCATCCTGTGAAATAAATGGAATCTCAGGTCTGAGCAAGCAAGGACTGGTGATTAAAGCTGTAGGAACTTTACTCACAACCCCTGAGAAAATCCAGTCAGGGTCTGATTGACCTTTTGATGGTGTCACAGGGCTGGGGACGTGGCAGGAGCTGTGCTGTCCTGGGACTCCTCCCTGTGCACACAGAGCAGGAGGATGGATCCCTGCTTCCCTAGGAAGAGTTTTGCCAAATTATCCTGAGAACTCTCAGGAAACTCCCAGAGTATCTGGTGGGTCAAGGAGTTCTTGTCATATCCAGAAGGAAATCCTTGGGTTTCCTCTGTGAGCTGACCTGGAGCAGAACTTCTGAGCCTGCAGGTTCCAGCTGGTGGCTGCTCTCAGCACTGTCCTGGAGAGGGATGGATTCCTGGAGCAGTGCATTCCATCTGGGCACCATCATCCCTCAGAGAATTCCAGACTGGTTTGGGTGGAGGGACCTCAAGGATCATCCAGTGCCACCCCCTGCCATGGCAGAGACATCCCCCACTGTCCCAGGCTGCTCCAAACCACATCCAACCCGGCCTTGGGCACTGCCAGGGATCCAGGGACAGCCCCAGCTGCTCTGGGAATTCCATCCCAGCCAGGAATTCCTTCCCAGTATCCCAAAATCCAAGCAGTGGGAGCCATTTCCTGTCTCCTGTCCCTCCATCCCTTGTCCCCAGTCCCTCTCCAGCTCTCCTGGAGCCCCTTCAGGCCCTGCAAGGGGCTCTGAGCTCTCCCTGGAGCTTCTCCAGGCTGTCCATGGTGGTGGGGAGCAGAGGCTGGGGCTGGTGGGGGGCTCTGGGAGGTGTCCCCAGGCCGGGCAGGAGCCGTGTGGGGACCGTGGCTGCAGGCGAGGTTGGTTTTTATTGTCAGTGTTCCCAGAGCTGCTGGATCCTGAGCTGGGCCCTGAGCTTGGCCTCTTGCTGCTTCTGTCCCTCTGTCCTGCTGCCTGGGCTCTGTCCCTCGCTGCCCCTGGCTCACAGCTGGGAGCACTCCAGGATTCCTGGGGATCTGCAGGAGGAATAAGGAGGGAGAGCAGGGCACAGGCTCACCCAGCACAGCGTGGTTGGTGCCTGAGCTGCCCTTGGGCCTCCAGAGCCTGCAGAGCTTCCTCTGTGCTCAGCTGCTGCTTTTTGTCTCTCCAGGTGCAGATCCAGAACAAGAAAGTCGACCTTTCCAAAGTGTCCTCCAAGTGTGGATCTAAAGCAAATATCAAGCATAAGCCAGGTAGGAATTTTGCCATTTCCTCATTTGTCTGTAAGTTTTGTCCCTGGAACACAGTCCTGGATTGGGACTGGAATAGTTTAAGGGGCTCGTTGCTTTCAAGGGGTGTCCCCAGTGCTCTGGGCATTCCTAAAAATGCTTCTTCCACAATTCCTGGTGTTTTCATGAGCAGGGATTAGGAGATGTGGGATGTCCTCTTGCCTGTGAAGATAACCTCCAGCTTTAACTCATTTCTGCTTTTCCTGCTCATTGAGAAGGAAAATGTGGCTGCTTCCCATGATCATTCCAGGAAGCTTCATCCATGCTCACAGAGGGCTTTGGGCACTCAGAACATCCCAGGCTGTTCATGGAACATGGAAGGATAAAGGAAATTCCCTCCAGTTCTTCAGAGCTCATTCAAAGCTCCTTTTAGCTTTGAGTCCAGCTCCTGCCTCCCATGAAACCCTTCTGGCCCTTGGGTGAATTTTCTGGTTTGAGTGTGGGAATTGGCTGCTCCCTGCTGAGAATTCTGCCTGAATTCCTGGGGATCTCATGTTTCTCCCCAGGCTGTGGCCAGCCCGAGGTGCTGGAGGCCCCTGGCTCAGCCCGAAGGAGTTCAGCACTCAGTTCAGTGCCCTCAGCTGGCCCCCGGTGCCTGGAGACGCTTTTCCACCCGGGAACGTGCAGAGTTCAGTGCCCAGGGCTGGGAACCAGCGGCACAGGCTGCTCTTTGTCCCCTCCCTGCTCTGGGAGTCCCCTGCAGCCTCCCCAGCCCCAGGCTGGAGCAGGTCCCTGCTGCAGGAGCCCCTCGCTCCGGTGCCACAGCCGCGACCTCGGCCAGTAACGAGCTGGGAGCGACAATCGCTGCCCTTGTCCGGCCCGATGGAAGCACAGCCAGCAGCTCCCACAGGGATGAGCTGCTTTTGTTGGACCAAACCCTTCGTTTTCCACCCTCAGCCGTGCCAGGCTCGCAGAGGGGGGCTCAGGGTTGAACCATGTCGCTGGGAGGCAAAGCTGTGCTTAGCAAGATCTCAGCTGTCAGAGAAGCTGCTGGGGTATGGACTGACTGCAGCCAGGGAAAGGTGGCCCTGTCCGTGCAGGAATCATCCTTGGGGATCCCAGTCTGTGGGAACAATTCCCCCGTGAGGAAAGGCTGAGAGAGTTGGGATTGTTCACCTGGAGAAGGTTTTGGGGTGACCTCAGTGTGGCCTTGCAGGACCTGAAGGGAGCCATGAAAGATGAGGAGTGATGATTTCCAAAGGCCTGGAGGGACAGGACACAGGGAATGGCTTCCCAGTGCCAGGGGGCAGGGCTGGATGGGATATTGGGCAGGAATTGCTCCTGGCAGGGTGGGCAGGCCCTGGCACAGGTGCCCAGAGCAGCTGGGGCTGCCCCTGGATCCCTGGCAGTGCCCAGGGCCAGGCTGGACATTGGGGCTGGAGCACCTGGGACAGAGGGAAGTGTCCCTACCATAGCAGGGGATGGCACTGGATGATCCTTAATGTCCCTCCCAACCCATTCCATGACTCTGGATTCTGTGATTAATGGGAACTGCAGCATTCTGGAATCTTTCCCATTCTGGAAAATTCTTGCTAAAATTTCTGCAGCTCTTTTTCTGACCTCCAGCTCCTCCTGAGGCTGCAGTGGCAGGGAGGAGCTGTCCAGGCAGGGGTGCCCGGGGTGCCAGGCTGGAGCAGGGGAAGGATAAGGAGGGCAGGAAGGCAGTGAGACAGAGCAGGAGCTGTCCTGGCACTGCTGCATGCACAGATGGCTGAGCTGGAGAGGCCTGGGCAGGGACAGGGACACAGGGACAGCAACAGTGGGACTCAGCCTTGGAATGGCACCAGTGAGGGGTGTGGGGGTGGCATTTCACAGCTCTGCTGGGGGAGGCAGCCTCAGGAGCAGATCAGGGGGATCTGTTCAGCCTGTCTGCATGGGCAGCATTCCCCAGGGACCTGTTTGCTGGCACAGCTGGAAATCACCAACTCCGGTCTTCCAGTTTGAAACCAAACTTGTCCTGGGGAGAGGCTGAGCCAGTGACCGTGGAACTTGTCCTGTCCCTCCTCCAGAGGGTCCCCAGCAGCTCTGGGGCAGGGCTGGGAACACCTGGGTGGGACTGCTGGCCCCAAACTCAGCCCTGTCCATGTCCCTGCAGGGGGAGGAGACGTCAAAATCGAGAACCAGAAGCTGAACTTCAAGGAGAAGGCCCAGGCCAAAGTGGGATCTCTGGACAACATGGGACACTCGCTGGCCGGAGGAGCCGTCAAGGTGAGAGCAGGGACCTGGCACATCCAGGGAGTGGCTTTGACCCAGTTCTCCTTCTCCTGCTGCTCCTCAAGTGCAGCTCCTCCACCACAGCCTGTAACAGCCTCCCTGCTTCTGGGGCTCTGCTGTGCACCCCAGGCTGAGGCTGGAACCCAGGGTGAGCATGGAGCCCAGGGTGAGGATGGAGCCCAGGGTGAGGAGGGAATTGAGGGTGAGGATGGAGCCCAGGGTGAGGAGGGAATTGAGGGTGAGGATGGAATTGAGGGTAAGGATGGAATTGAGGGTGAGGATGGAGCCCAGGATGAGGAGGGAATTGAGGGTGAGGATGGAATTGAGGGTGAGGAAGGAGCCCAGGGTGAGGATGGAGCTCAGGGCGAGGAGGGAATTGAGGGTGAGGATGGAGCCCAGGGTGAGGATGGAACTGAGGGTGAGGAGGGAATTGAGGGTGAGGAAGGAGCCCAGGGTGAGGAGGGAATTGAGGGTGAGGATGGAGCCCAGGGTGAGGCTGGAGCTCAGGGTGAGGATGGCTGGAAAGGAGAGAGCTGGACCCTCCTTGGGGTGTGTGACCCTGCTGGGCATTCCTGAGGGCTGGCACTGTCCATGTCCATCCTTCCTCTTGGAACCTGAGAGCAGGGATCACTCCTGTTTGTGAGGATGAGAGCAGAGCACAGCTCTCCTGGTTCTGACCCATCCCCTCTCCCAAGGGAACACAAACTGTGCCAGGTCTGCCTGCAGCAGTGGCACATCTGTGCTCAGGGAGGGGACATTCCCTCCCTGAGGGACCTGTGGGCACAGCACGGCCCCAGGGAGCTGGGAATTGTGCTGGAAGGGGCCTTAAGAGTCATCTCATCCCACCCCTGCCATGGTGGGACACCTCCCACTATCCCAGGGTGACCCAGGGCTCATCCAGCCTGGCCTTGGGCCTTGCCAGGGATCCAGGGGCAGCCAGGGCTGCTCTGGGTGTCCCCAGCTCAGGATCCAGCACCAGCCCTCGGTCAGAACACGGGGATTTGTCCTTGCCATTCCCTGTGCAGCTGTTCCAGCTGTTCCAGCTGTGATTTGGAGCAGGGCTGAGCTCAGGGCTGTGTCAGACCCCGCAGCATTTGCAGGATCCCATCACCCCGCTTGTCCCCGCAGGTGGAGAGCGGCGCGGAGCCGAACGGAGCGGGGCCGGGCCCGGGTGTGCTGCCCCAGAACGGAGTGGGGCCGGGCCCCAGCGACCAAAGGGAACCTCAGAGCCTCGACAGCCGCATCCAAGAAACAAGTGAGTGTCGTGGGGAGGGAGCCCGGCAGGCACCGCAGCCCCCGACCGCCGCTAGCGGCGGCTGCAGGGCTGTCGTGCCTTTCTTTTAATTCAGAAAATTGCCTTTTATCTTCCAGGCATCTAATGATGACATTCTGGTATCGTCTTCCATTCCCCCTCCTGCCCCTTGTCTCGTCCTCTCCCCACGCCCCTGTCCCCTGCCCCTGTGTCGCTGCAGATTGAGTCTCTCGAGCTGAAGTTCCGTGCGAAGGCCGAGGCTCGAACGGACCACGGAGCTGAAATCGTCTCCAAACCCCCCACCCCTTCCAGCAGCACCTGCCCCCGGCGTAGCACCAGCTCCAGCCTGGGCTCCGTGGCCTCCCCGGCACCGCCAGCAAGGCTTGTGACCCCCGCGCCCCCGGGGACCCAGCTTGGCTCTCTTAACCCGGCTCTGCCTTTAGGTGGGAAGGGGACGATGCGGGGTGTTCGGGCCGGGGGTCCCGGGGGCTCCCCTCCCTCTCTCGGTGCCCCCGGGCAGGGCAGAGCCCCGCGGGTGAGGCTGAGGCCGGGCTGAGTTAACAGGGATAAGCTGCGATCTTTCTTTCTGGCTCTTTTTTTAACCCCTTCCCTCCTCGCCGCTTCAGTTTCTGCCGCCTGTGGGATGCTGACGAATCCCCTCCACACTCCTTAGGCTGTTTTAACTGTTGACTTGAACCTTTTATTCTTTGTGACAAAGTGTTGATGATGATTTATCGTGTTCGAACCCGTGCTAAGTTTCCTTTTCTCTTTCCTTTTCCGACCCGTAGGAGAGTAGGGACATTTAACCGCTGCTGCCGTGCCGGCTTCTGACTGACATATCCAGCCCTTGTCACTTCTTTGGTGTTGTTTGGGGTTTTGTTTCTGCTTTTTTTTTAACGTTTTAAAACGATGGAGCGAGTTCATGGGATTAAGCCATGTCTGGAACGAAAGGCACAGGAATGTGTAAAGGGCAAACTTGCTGTGAGAGCTCAGGTGGAGCCTGTGTTGACCTCGAGATGTGGTAATTGATGCTCGAGATGAGTTAATTGATGCTCGAGATGAGTTAATTGATGCTCAAGATGAGTTAATTGATGCTCGGGAGCCGTCCCCGGGTGCCTTCTGCAGAGGTGGTTTATTTATTAACGGCAGGGCCGGGCTCTGGCATCTCTCCGGTTTTTGCAGGGCTTTTCCAGGGCCTGGAAAGGGAGCAGGAGGCTCGGGCCGGGAGTTCCGAGGCTGCAGCAGGTCCGTGGGGTGTGTGGGGTGTGCGGGGTGTGTGCTGCTGGGGTGATGGCCGGGATGAGCAGGGCAGGAGGCAGCGGGGGCTCATCCCAGAGGGACCCCGGAGCCCTCGGAGGGGCAGCAGGGCAGGCTCGGTGCCAGGGAGGTGCAGCTCTGACGAGGAAGGAGATTTAACCTCTCTTGGAGCTCCTCGTTTCAAATGACACTAAAGAAAACGAAGTGTAAATAAATTAAAGGAAAACAAAACAAAAGTGTTCTCGGGTGGTCAAAGTAATTTAAAGCAAAATAAAAAAAAGCAAACAGAATAACAAAACACTGGGATCAAAGAGAACTGAACCAGGCGTGTGCTAAGGGGGGCTGCTCCAGGAGGGGACAGAGGGAAGCCTGCAGCTTCTCGTGCTTGTGGGAGTATTTCTTTGGGAAGCCGACAATGACACGATAACCCGGAATCTGTATTTACACACAAAGATTCTTATTGCACTTGTATTTTTTATATTAAAGTTTGCATGGTTTCTAATAAAATGGCATTAAAATGTACTAGTTTGAATCAAAGTCGTCTGGTAGTTTCATAAGTGCTTTTTCATCCGAATACAAATTTAAACGAGCGATGCAGATTTGCACCTGAAAGGGGCGGTTATATATACCCAGAGACCTCCTGATGCTTCCCTTCCTCTTCCTCCTCCTCTTCCTCTCCCCACCTCTCCACACCCCTGTGACCCCAGCCGGGGATCCGTGTCCCCCGTGTGTGTCCCTGTGTGTCCCCCGGAGCTGCCGCCGGCGCTGGAGCTCCCCGCAGCCCCCGCTGCTTCCCGTGTCCCGGTATATATCACTGCCCTCCCGTGACACGTTCTTCTTTCTTTACTGCTAAATTCTACACGCCAGCTTCAGCTCGGCAGCCTTGGCTTTGCTTTGGGTGACTTGTTTTGGTTTTTTCCAACGTTTGAATTGAGGGAAAAATTGAAGGAGAGGAGAGGAGCAGGGTGAGCCCCTGGGCAGGACGGTGGTTCCCGGCTGTGAGCAGCCAGGGTGGCCTCGGCACAGGCTGGAGCCCAGCTCCAGGATCTCAGGGCAGGGAGCAGAGCTGGTGCCGATGGGCAGAGCCGGAGATGGTCAGGGGCAAACAAAGAGGAGCTGGAGGCTGAGATGTCGCGTTCCTCTTGCTGCTCCTCCTGGGGCACCCCGGACCTGTGGTGGCCTGGGATGCCCCGGGATGAGATTCCCTGGGATGAGATTCCCTGGGTGTCCCGGATGAGAGGATGAGATTCCCAGGGTGTCCCAGGATGAGATTCCCTTGGATGAGATTCCCTGGGATGAGATTCCCCAGGATGAGATTCCCTTGGATGAGATTCCCTGGGATGAAATTCCCTTGGATGAGATTCCCGGGGTGCCCAGGTGAGGCCCAGGGTGAAGGGACGCAGCTGGTCCCGATCAGGGACTGCGGGAGGAAGGCAAATGGCAACACTGCACTTTATCTTCTGAGACTGCAAAAATCAAACAAGCCCTGCCCCGCTGCAGAGGGACAGCGACATCACCTTCCCCCTGCGTTGTTTTTCTCCATTCCCCATTTCCCGAGCCCCGGCCGGGCGCTGTGGCTGTGCCCAGGCTGTCCCTGCCCAAAGCCCGGCCCAGCTGAGCCCCCGGCCTGTGCTTCTGTGCCACTTCTCTAACACTTGTTGTGCCTGTGTGTAGCTGATGAACTAAATCCAGATACACTAGTTCGCCGTGGTGTTTCTAGGACAGCTTCAGTTTTAATACGGATTTCTTTTTTAACTTTATTTTGAGGGCGGCTGTACATATTGCTAGGCTGGGAAGGAGCCGTGTGCGGTGGGAATGATTTTGTTTCCCGGCTGGAGAGGAGGGATGAGCTGGGTAATGCTGAGACCTCAAACGCTGCTGGGGGAAGGGGCTGGAGGCAGCAAATCCTGGGGGAAACGGGACTTGTGCTCCGAATGAGGTGCGAGTTGAATGTACGCGTTCCTGTCCCGAGGCTGGGGTGGCTCTGGGCCGGGCAGGGCTGGGCTGGTGGCTCAGCGGAGGGGCTGGGCTGGCTGTGAGCTCCATCCTGGGCTGGGCTGGGCTGGGCTGGCTGTGAGCTCCATCCTGGCTGGCTGTGAGCTCCATCCCGGCCTGGCTGGGCTGGCTGTGAGCTCCATTCCGGCCCGGCTGAGCTGGGCTGTGAGCTCCATCCCTGCCCGGTTGGGCTGTGAGCTCCATCCTGGGCTGGCTGTGAGCTCCATCCCGGCCCGGCTGGGCTGTGAGCTCCATCCTGGGCTGGCTGTGAGCTCCATCCCGGCCTGGCTGGGCTGTGAGCTCCATCCCAGCCCGGAGCCCAGCAGTTCCCGGTGTATCAGTGGCATTTACAGTTCCTTTGGGCTTTTTCTACTGTTAAACAAGAACATTGAACCCGAGTTTGCGGGCCCGAGGCCGCCCCAGAGCGCTCCCGGCTCCGAACTGAATGTAGTTTTCTACGCTGCCCCTCGCTTGTCCCCGCGTGTCGCTGTGAGAGGGGCCCGGGACCCTCGCGTGGGCTTTGTGTTCAGGCAGAATCTCGAGTTTGCTTGGAGCTTGGTGTCGGTGGCGTCCTTGGGGTGATGGGGCAGGGCCGAGTCCCCTCAGAGCCGCGGTCCCGGCAGCTCCAGGTCTGGGGAAGGGTCCCCAAGGCCGAGCAGCCCTGGCTGGGCCCGGCAGCTCCGGGTTTGGGGAAGGGTCCCCAAGGCCGAGCAGCCCTGGCTGGTCCCGGCAGCTCCGGGTTTGGGGAAGGGTCCCCAAGGCCGAGCAGCCCTGGCTGGGCCCGGCAGCTCCGGGTTTGGGGAAGGGTCCCCTCAGATCCGAGCGGCCCTGGCTGGGCCCGGCAGCTCCGGGCTCGGGGAAGGGTCCCCTCAAGGGCCGCGGGTGGGGCAGAAGAGGCTCCGGGCAGCAGCAGCAGC